ACGGTCTGAGCGCGATAGAGTCGCACAAGCGTCATTTAGACGCTGTGTTGCATACTCTGGGTGACGCCCAATTATACGTGAACTTGCAAAAGTGCGTAATAAGGGTCCCCGAGATACCTGTGCTGGACTGCATCGTAGGTACAGATGGTGTACAAGCAGACCCAGAAAAGGTAAAGGCTGTAAAGGAATGGCCAGTCCCACGTCATGTGAAGGATCTGCGCCAATTCCTCGGGCTCGCTAATTACTTGTATAAGCACAGCAAGAATTATGTGGAGCAGACTAAGCCATTGTATGACCTTTTCAAAAAGGATGCAGAATGGACTTGGTCAAAGGAGCAAGAAGATGCGTTCACATTAGTGAAGCAATCTCATGTAGAGGCACCGGTATCGGCATTGCCAGGCTCGTATTAGCCTTTTAACGTCGTCTGCGATGCAAGCAATTATGCAATCGACAGCGCGCTCATGCAGAAGGATGACAACGGCGTTGACCGTGTCATTTCTTATCAGCCTTGGCTTTTAAAAGCCCCAGAGCTGAATTACCCTGTGCATGACAAGGAGATACTTTTCATTAAGTATGCTCTTGTTTAGTTTCGTGTGCACCTCTTAGGCACCGAACCTTTTGTGATTTATACGGATCGCGCATCACTGTGGACCGCTATAAATTCACCGCACCTCTCGCCGAGAATGGCAAGATGGCTAACATTCTTCTCTGAATTTAATTTCAAAGTTGGATATAAGCCGGGTAAGTCGAATGTCTTGGCTGACGCTTTATCGCGCATACCAGAATTCGAGGCAAAGCACCAGGAAAGTGTGTCTCGTGTGAAAGCACAAGTTGAGTCGTCAACATTGGCAGCCATAAAGGCCTACCATTTGACGAGCTCAATGACCTCCGATATAAAGGAGTGTTACAGTCAGGACAAACATTGTCGCCTGCTGTTGGATCATTTTGGTGGAAGCAAAGTTACCCCTAAAAGCGAAACTAAATCGCTTTAGTTACAGTGATGGCATTTTATGGCATCAAATGTCACCCTGTGATCCCTTGCGAATCCATGTACCTCATGACACAGATCTCAAGCTGATAATACTTCACGAGTGCCATGATGCGCCATCTAGTGGGCATCTGGGCCGTGAAAAGACATTCGTACGAGTGTCAGAGGAATTTTGGTGGCCCCACCTATATCGGTGGGTGGCCAACTATATCCGCTCTTGCGAAGAGTGTCAGCGCATAAAGCCTGCACCTTCGAACAGTGCGCCACTGAAGCCACTGCCGATTCCAACTAAATGTTGGAAGTCGGTCAGTTTGGACTTCATGTTTGGATTACCGCCTGACCATAAAGTCAGGACGGATCTCGTCGTCTTTGTAGACAGACTGAGCAAGATGGTGCATTTGGCACCAAGTAGCACCAAGATCTCAGAAAAAGAGGCTGCCCTCTTGTTTCTGGATCACGTGTATCGACTACACGGGATGCCCGAGTCCATAGTATCGGACCGAGATCCGCGTTTTGCGTCGAGGTTTTGGTGACATGCGCTTGAGCTGCTGGGTAGCAAGCTCCACATTTCAACCGCTGATCATCTTCAAACTGATGGTCAAACGGAACGAGCCAATCGAGTCGTGGCGGATTTTTTGCATACTGCATTGACTCCTAAGAATGGAGCCTGCAATTTCCATTCGCGGAGTTCGCTATTAATAACAATGTATACGCCAGTACGGGTGAAAACCCGTTTCACATTAACGGACTGCGCCATCCTCGGAAAAAGTTATCGTTTGTGCGCAGCACGAATATTAGTGGGGGGGGCCTCACTTCGCTTGGTGCGAATGCCAAAGAGTGTCAAATTTACCCTAGTGACACTACTAATTTAGCAGTGGTCACGACACCTATCAGTGTCAATGAGGAGTCACGGCAAGAAAGGCCCTGTGCTCCTTGACGATATCACAACAGCGTCGACCCATGACCGACCTCTTGAGGGTGTCATAGGCGAGCTGATGCTAAAAGCGTGAGCAAAGCTCAGCGCTTCTTGGATGACTGATAAGCCATCAGAAGTAGAGACTGTGACTCAATGGCAAGCGCACAGGATAAGCAGAAACAATATGCGGACCAGCATGGTCGCAAAAATAATGAGCACTTTTGTGTTGGGGACGAAGTGCTATTAAGTACTGCTACCCTACCTAAACATGCAATTTCTGTACTACCTGGTGGTACTACTAAGCTATTGCCCTGATTCCTTGGCCCTTTACAGTGGTTGAAGAAGTTGGAGACCTAAATTATAGGCTCGCTCTCCCACCGTATATGAGAACGCACCCCTTATCTTACGTGGGTCGTCTGAAACGATATTGATCCAGAAGAGATCACATATCCACATCGGTCTAACGAGACAAATGGTGACGTCGACTGAAGTCGAGCATCGCGGCCGATCAGGTGACGAGGAAGCCGATAGGTTCCCCATATACGAACGAGGATATAGGGGACTCGGCGATCGAGGAGGACTCAGCGCTTGACGCGAGTCTCTCATTACCAGTCGCTCATGTATGTCCAAACGGGTCTTCAGGCGGTCATACCCCTGACGATCCCTCGTATTCATGGAGCGTATATCCGAAGTCAGTCGCGAGACTTGATTCGACAGAACAGCCAACTCTTTATTCAGCGCAGCGATATCCGCTTGCGACAACATGATAGGCAGCAGCCGCGAATAACTGGGCGTTATCAACGCTCCTATCGGACGCCACCTGTATTGGTGGATGCGGGTGGAAACACACGCTTCCTTGTTGAAAGGTTGTTGGACCACCGACATGCGAAGCAAAAGCTTCAGATCCTTTTCCAGTGGAAAGGATACCATTCGCTCTGCTAGGTCCTGATGGACTAGAAGTGGTAGCGCATCGAGAAGGAGTGGGGGGTAGGTTACCACCCAATATCTCCCTCGCACGCGTAATAGCGAAGCTGATTCGCTGCGACCGCTGTTTCACTGCATCTAGATGCGGTGTTTCACGGCTCAGGAACTCTTCCTCGTGTTCGCTGGTTGTTTCATTCGAACACAATACGACGGGGATAGGGAAAGCACGACCTAGTGCTTGCCCTGTCTTTTCCATGATGAAAGACGCTTAAATTTGATTAGCGGCAATAGTGGCACGCTTTAAAAGCGTCGCACTATTTACACGCCAGCGTGACCACTCGGGTGGTGGTGGCATCTCTGGCAAACCATCACTCACGTAGCCGCCCTCGCGAAGGCGAGCTCGTGAACCGAATGTGAAGTCGAATGGGCTTTTAGCTCACCATTGCATGAGTTATACTCTCCATTGTGGATTGTCAAGACATCAGATGTAGGGTTAACAGAGGCGGAAGATCTAGAATCGCCGACCTGCTGTTGAGTCGCGGCTATTTCTTTCGAAGCAGCGCGCTCAGTTGTGGTCGCTGCGCTTGTTGGCGCAGACGACGAGGCATGGCCCTCGCTGTCAGGAAGCATGGAAGCTTCCTGAAGGTTGGGTGTCTCAAATGATGGGGACAAATGCCCCATCAGAGCACTGTGCTTATCACCACTTTGGGGTGATGGCAATGGTGTACTTTCATTGTAGTCAACAATGAGAGACAAGTCTTCATCCGGACCAGTGTTCTCTGCTGACAAGCTGACATTAAGTGTCGGCGTTGTAACAGAGGACACTTAACCATTGTTTCGAGCTATGGCGGCGCGTGCGCTCCGTGCTGGTCTGCATGGACGCCTTTGCAGGCGACCCATCAGCCTTTACACGTTTCGGTGGCATCGCTTCTTTATTCGATTTTGCAAAATGTAAAAATCGTCTTAAAGAAGGGGATGGTGGAATGGGCTAAAAGTTACACGGTTCGTTAAGTATCGAATACTTAACGGGCAGGCCTAAATAGGTACGAGGTATCTTAGTCCTGCCACTTGGGTGTGGCACATTAATGTCACCCACCCTCGTGAATGTGATATCCATGGATGGATTCACATTCAACGAGGATGACGCCAGTTGGGACTGGGCGTCATGGTGACGCTTCAGACAGACGTCACCTGCGAGCTTAAATATATTTTAAGCTCGCACGTAAGGATACGTTTCTAAAGAGACGCGTATCCAATCTTTGCATCATTAACCAATCAGTAGTTAAACTTATATTTAGTTTAGAATCTATCAAATATAAGTCAGTCTCAAAAATTTACTATGTATCTATCGCCCACTGCGCATAGGAAGATTGTATAAGCTTCTGCGTGACGTAAATGAGGTACTTCTTAGTTGTTCGTTGCGCGGACCGCTCTAAGCGGCCGGCAACAGTTTGATTCGGCGCTTTCAGCGACCGACCAACGCAACCACCACTGCACGCGGGGGTAAGATGGTATAACCGCTTCCTCGCGCTGCTTGAAGTGCCCGCGTAGTACGTGGCAGCTTCTTTACGAAGTGCTTGTCTACAATATTCATCTTATTAGTTTGTGCCAATGTGCACACCCCGTTACAGCGTTACCATACAAGCTTAGCAGGGATCATGCATCCACTGTAAAGCACTAACCTTAATGGCGTACGGTAGTGGATGAAGTTTCTGATCTTTCCCTGTTTATGGCGGGTTCAAGTCACACAGGACACCTTTGTAAATGGAGGGCGATCGTCTTGATTATTAACCGTAAAACCCGCAACGGTCAAATTCTTATACAAAAAGTCTAATCTTAAGAGTTGTGTACTATCTTAGCTATAGCAGAGAAGTGTATGAAAAGTAATAGACAACTAATCTAAAGCTGTGGCAAGGCCCTGATTAGATGACTCTGCGGTCACGCGCTTCAGCAAAGCCCTTCCGATACCCTTGACAAGCGTTGTCGGCTGTTAGCCGTTTTTGCTCTGCAACATATGTACGACTAGCAAGATTTGTCTGGTAAACTCAATCGCCATTCATCACCATTCGCTATATTCCTCGTCTTTGAGAGCAGAGACTATCACGTTCTGCAATGCGCTTTTTTCCATCCTATAGGTAATCTAGGCAAGGCAACTTCCTTCCCTAGCCAAATTTACAACTCTTCCCGCGCAAACGGAGCCATCGCACTCAGGCCACCGTCAACTGTGATACATTAAGTCAAAACCAGCCCTAAAAGCTCTTTCATATGAGACCCTTACCGTAAATAGTTTGACCCGTCACGGACGCAGCGAGGTCACTTGACAGGAAAGCTGCAACAGACCCAACATCTCCACTTGAGCTATTTCGACGCAGAGGAGCGTGGTTCTCAGCATATTTCCTCATTGTCTGTAGCATCACGTTATTGTTAAGAGAAATTTCAGCACGACATCTTTTTTCGCACAAACCAACACTCACTGAGATGCCAGGAATGCCACGGGCTGACACCGTATTCATGGGTCCAGGGCTTATACAGTTGACACGGACACCTTCTGGTCCAAGCTCGTACGCAAGTTGCCTCGCCGTCGCCTCTAACGCTGCCTTTGCCGGACCCATTACATTGTAATTAGGTACTACCTTTTCCACATTTTCCGTTAAAAGATTGACAATAGTCAGTGTCCCTCCCAAAAACAACAACATTTCTTGACTCGTTAACCTTTGTCGATCCAGCATAAGTCAGCGCTAACACGCTGCGGTCTCGTCTCTCTCCTACCCCTTGTACCATCAATGGCTTAGCTGCCTTCATCAGCGCCACCAAGCTATAGGCACTGACATCCATTGCCTGTGTCCATGCATCCCTCGGGGTATTCAATAATCCGTTGGCAAAGGCTTCACGCGGGGCAAACGCCACCGAATGCACCAAAATGTCCAACTCCCCATTGAAAACTTCTCCGCAGCGTTGCATTAACTGTTCGATTCTCGTATCACTTTCTACATCACACGGTTCAAAATGCAATGTGGGACTTGCTATTTCGGACGGTTTGGGGATCTCAAAGGTGCAACTTTTGACGTGACTTTCGTTCATTGGACTTTTAGACGACACTACAACGCTTGCACCACCAGAAAGGAACGCTTGAGTCACACCTGCAGCCAGTGAGTATTTGTTCATAAGCCCCACTACTAGAGCACGCTTGCCTTTGAGCAGCATGACGATCGTATACCGGATCAATTAACCAACGCTATTTGGCAGGTATTTATTTACCTATGATATCTGCCATTCTTTGGAATATCTGATTCATTGGCTGAAAAACGACCTGACAAGATTAAAAACAAGATATAAACAAGAATTGAAATTAGGTACTTTCCAATTCGCGCCTTCGAGCTACAACGGCCAAGAGACGAAGACCTTCAAAGAGCCGGTCAACCGGCCCCCTCCGACCAGGGCGGGAAGTCCCTCAAACGGGAGGCCCAGGATAAGAGGGGGAGGTTTTCCCTCTGCTGCGTGCGCTATGGGGGGCAAGCGCAGCGTGCGAACCGTAAGGGGAGCACCAACCCTGTTACCCCCGGGGGGAGAGGATCGACGACCGCGGTTATCATTCCCTCTTTCCCCAATAGTTCCTGCTATTCTACGTCAGCCTTCAAGACGCCGATTCGATCGCCGAGCGCGAATCTCGGTCCCACGAAGTGAACTTGCCAAGAACGTGAATTGATCGGCCCCGTCCAGGTGCATCAGCGGTCGATCGGGACTGATCGGTGTGGTGCCCGGCGCTTGTTGCGATCATTGAGCCACTGTTTACACCTCGGGCTGATAACCCGATTCCACGTGCCCTTTTCGGAGTGTCCCCCGTGACGCCCGACGTCTCGAGCCAGCAGATTGAGCCAGCGAGGCGAAGAATGACGAAGTCCTGGTAGAAGCACTCCAGACATCTTACCAATCCTTAATGTTTGAAATAGACGGTCTGTTCTTCTTCACAAGAATTGAAATTAGGTCGTCACTAATGTGTTAGTAATCGATGTAATGGTAACTGCAACTATATTGTTTGTCTCTACTTGCAACTTTTAGAAAGATATTTCAATCATGGCCTCGACGTTGCACTCATAGTGACCGGCTTGATCGCAACAAGCGTACCCATCACCTCTTCAACAATCTGTGACGTGATACCCTGTAGTCACCGTAAAGGAAGTATTCAGTAGACAATCAGACGACTATGAAACCTCTACCAACCAGAAAATCGGACTGGTTATGAGGAGCAACAACCTCGTAATATTGTGATTTAAAATGATGTGTAGCAAGCTGACATTGTAAAGCTGACCCATTCTTCAATCGGGACGAGAACAGTAACAGCTCACCTTTTTGACAGATGAAAGCCTTTACTCCTTTCAATGTACTTACTCTGATAGCGTTGGCGGGCTATGTGGACGCGCACGGATTCATTTCGCGACCCCCTGCAAAGTACAATCTCAGCCCCACCTACACGGACTTCAATTGTATCATCGATGCCAGCGTTAACGAGGGATTCGCCGGCGGTATCTACAACCATAAACCAGAGGATAATGCCAAGCAGTTTGCCGAGCACTGGGACGCTACAGGGTACACGTCGCTTCGTGAGATGCTTGATCCCGTTGCTCCAAACTATGGAATGTCAATTCCCACGGCAGACCCAGTCGATGTGAGCAGCTATACCGAGATGTGGTGGCAGAGTAACGAGCACAAGGAAGGCTTCCTTCATTCGCATCATGTACGTTACGCAACTGTTAATGGTCGTTGAGTGTTGTACTAAATGAGTTTTCGTCGGTACAGGGTCCCTGTGAATGCTGGATTGATGATATAAAGGTCTTCCACAATGACGATTGTTCTAAGGAATTTCGTTCATATCCTGCCAAGATCCCTATCGACTACTCGTCTTGTAAGGCAGGCAAAACATGTTTGTTTGTCTTCTACTGGATAGCGGTTCAATTGCCACAATGGCAGGTTTACAGTACGTTTCAGAAGCACTCTCGTGGGATCAGGCATTAATGCTAACAACAATTTGGCATTTTGTTTGCAGAGCAATGCGTGCCTATTATCAATATAGGCTCGGGCAAGTCTTCTGACAAAGGTGCCACTGCCAATATAACTGCACCAAATGATACTCCAACCGAGATACTCCCGATTTTTATTGCGCCTGCTGCCCCGCCTGCTGCCCCACCTGCTGCCCTGCCTGCTGCCCCGCCTGCTGCCCCACCTGCTGCCCCGCCTGCTGCCCCGCCTGCTACCCCACCTGCTACCCCGCCTGCTACCCCGGATGCGACCCCGGATGCGATTTCAGATGTGACCATGCCTGCCCCACTGACAACGGACTTTACCCCGATCGCGACGACAGCTCCCGTGGGCACTCCTGCTACAGACACGAGTACTGAGACGCAGGGTAGTAAACCTGCTAGCTCTTGCAAAAGACGCAAGTGACTCATGCAGAGCAAGTCAGAGTCCCGTCTATCGAATCGATAGATGCAAGTAAGTCTGTATCGATTGCGTATTTCGTTGTCTAGTCAACACGTAGATGTGCTTCTAATGCTACAAAGAAATTGAAGCGACGCATTGCTCGTCATCTAGCAGTATCGCATCAAGAGCTCGTCTTTCTTGCGCCGCCAGGCTTTTTTGTTTTGCACGTGGCACGTTATTGTAAAGCTTGTATTCCGTAGAAGCGGATACAGTCGCAGTGCGTACTATAAACTCACCAATCTCATGTGGAGTTTCTCACCCATACATCTTCGAACGCATAGCAGCACATGTTGCCATCTGACAACTAATCTTTGCCTTGAGCTAAGTGTTATTGCTCTCAGCTCTACGGGCGAACATTAATTCCTAACAGTTTCTTAGTAAGATAATGAACTTATCAATTTGCGCCTTTGAGCAACAACGGCCAAAAGACAAAGACCTTCAAAGAGCTGGTCAACCGGCCCTCTGACCTGGGCGGGAAGTCCCTCTAACGGGAGACCCAGGATCCAGAGGGAAAAGATTTTCCCCCTCTGCTGCGTGCGCTGTGGGGGCAAGCGCGACGTGTGAACCGTAAGGGGAGCATTAACCCTGTACCTTTGAGGGAGAGGAACGACGACTGTGGTTATCATTTCCTCCTTCCCGATGATTCCTGCTACTCTACATCAGCCTTAAGACGCCGACTTGATCGCCAAACGCGAATCTCGGTCCTACAAAGCGAACTTGTCAAGAGCGTGATTTAATCGGCCCCGTCTAGGTGCATCAGCGGTCGATTGGGACTGATCGGTGTCGTGCCCGGCGCTTGTTGCGATCATTGAGCCACTGTCTATTCTTTGGGCTGGAAAACCGATTCCATGTGCCCTTTGCGGAGTGTCCCTCGTGACGCCCGATGTCTCAAGTCAGCAGATTGAGCCAGCGAGGCAAAGAATGACGAGATCCTGGTAGAAGCACTCTAGACATCTTACCAGTCCATAATGTTTGAAAGAAACAGTTTGTTACTCACTCTTGTAAGATGATGAAAGTAGTTTATAGAAAGCTCAGGACGATAAAGTCGTCGGGTTTTGTATTGATCGATATCCACGAAAGCGTCTACCGATTAGTCATACGTTTCACAGGCTAGTTTGGTGTTATTCATCGACAGCGAGGAGTGTAAAAAGCAACAGAATGAAAGATCCTTCCTTCAATATATCATTCCTGTCGTTACTTTCGTCTCCGGTTTCAATATCCTGACTAAGAAGGTATCGCCCCACAGCGTACACCCCAGCAACAACGTACAAGTCCGAGAGCGCCGCCATTGAACGGGATAAAGGCTTAATGTATGAGTTGTGGATAAGCTTTATTCTGAAATGAAGCTCTAGCTGGAAAGAATGAGCAAGTTTTGAATTCAAAAAGCTCATGTCATCCAGGGGTCAAATGACCATTTTATGCAGCATCTATACATCACAATGCACACTGTGTGTAACGCCAAATCAACCGTTGCTAATATTTTAGTGTTAGTTTCACCATCGTTGAACGAGGCTCATGGTTAGTTTGAGGAGCAACCACTACCTGAAACAGCGTTAAGCGCTCCCAGTAAAAAGTATAGACCACATTGGCCAAGGGTTTGATAAGCCTGCGTAGTGTCAGCGCTTGGGTCGCTGTTTGATATGAAGACCAGTTTGTTGAAGCAAATCGACGAATTGGAAGCTAGAATGTATCGAAAGGAATAGAACAGTGTCGTTAGCTAGTGTAGTATCAATTAGTAGAACGCAAACTTGCAGTTGCCGCAGTGGTCGAGGCCGGTTCGAGATCGCAACTTGTCAGGCTTGGGTAGCCACGTTTCAATCAGCTACAAAATTTGGAATGATTGGAACGTGGCTACCCAAGCATATCGTTCGTCATTCTCACAGTTTTTACTTCTTTCCCAACGATGTTGCGATCGATCTTTTATTGACATCATTCAAAGAATGTTCGTAATGATTATTCATCTTTTTCGTGTTGTATAATGTTGCGTAGCAGTGTCAATACCGGTATGAATCGTTTATTTTATGCACAATGTCGAAAACTACTCGGTATTCGTTTTAACGTTTATACAAAAAAGCAGTGCCGTTTTAACACCTTTACTTCGTTGTCAATTACCACCTTTTCTTTTTCGAGTTGGTGCCGGTGCGTTCAGGTTCCTTACTCCATTGCTCTTTTGATCACACCACCTGTCTCTTTCCTACACCTCCAAACTGTGTCATCACAGTTCATTATGGATCTCTCGAGTCTTCGGGTCAAGGAGCTGACGGAGATCTGCCGCAGCTTTGGTGCGTAGCCTTTTTGTAACTTATAAAATATTCCAATAGAGGGGTTTGTTTGTCTGAAATGTACTGACTGTGCTAGGCATTCGCACAAGTGGCCGCAAGGCAGAATTGGTAGAACGGATAAAGGCCAATGCCACTTACCAAGCGGACGTGACGGCGCTGGCCAAGATGGGCATTAACAACGAGCAGCAAAAGAGTCATAATGGCACTAAAAGAAGCTTAAGCTACACTGTGAGAAAAGAATACTTTGACATTTTGTAATGTAGAGACACTAAGTAGTAATGGATTGGACTATTTGTTGCAGTATACAGACAGCAACAAAAAGCAGAAAAACGGACAGGAGGACAATGTTGCAATCGACGCAGTATTTGAGCGGTTCTTAGGTATTGAACGATGTTGAAAAGGATGGTAAAAACGCTGAGATGTTGCTAGTTTTGTACTAATTTTCCATGGTTTTCTCACAGATCCAGACGCGGAAGAGGCATCAATCACGGACGATGGGATTCTAGCATTTTGTGATGCAGTGGGAATCGATGCTCAGGACCCGGTGATGTTGGCTCTAAGCTGTGCAATGGAAGCTGAAACCATGGGGGTGTATACACGCACCGAGTTTCGACGCGGAATGCACAAGTTGCATTGTTACTCGATTGAAGATTTACGTGGTAAACTTCCGACTTTACGTAATCAGATGCGTGATCGCACCCAGTTCTCTACTATTTATTCGGTACGTAGGATTAAGAGAGATGAATTATCGATTGTATTGAGCGATGATCGTGTCTTTATATCACTGTGTAGTTTACATTTGGGTTTTCAAAAGATTCTGCTCAGAAGAGTTTAGCGCTAGAGCTGGCTGTAGGACTTTGGGAACTTTTGCTTCCCGGGCATTTCCACTGGCACCACCATTGGATGCAGTACGTTCGAGGAAATTCGCGCGGTGTCGTATCGAAAGACCTGTGGCTTCAGGTGCTGGACTTTGGCCTCCAAATTAAACCGGACTTAAGCAACTTCGATGAGAATGGAGCATGGCCCGTGCTTCTGGACGATTTCGCAGCGCACATGCGGGAACTCATTACCAAGAAGGGACTTCTAGTCGTACAACAGGAAGAGGATACCATGTTTACAGAAACTGATAAAACTGACGACACCGAGAGCATGGTTGTGGATGAATAGCTAAGTGGCGTTTGTGTTTAAATTCCGAGAACGACAACTCGGACACATCACGATAGAAACGCAGTCCGGGAGATTGCAGTCTGCGTGTTTATGACCTGAGGTTGCATATATAAGAGGCGTTTGCTTACCTTCACTTTCAACTTCCAGGTGTTTCAAATGGCATCTGCGCGCAAGAGCTGCATTCTTGTGCATGCTCGGCTTTCGTTTGCTTTTTTGGTGCTACTTATCTACGCTTGATGACGGAATGGCGACGGCTGTCACAGCCATTGCAAGGTGCAGTTGCATTTGCACGTTTCTATTTACACACAACGGCAAAAAGCTTTTTTCCGTTAGATTGTTGCACGTGTAATACATTCTACAGTACATTAAATAGCCATGAAGGCCGTCCACCATGATGCCCACATTATCGAATTAGCTGGATGATGATGCCGGTGATGTTGCATACCGCGATGCTGCATTCGTGTATTGTTCTCCTCTCGGGACCACCAAAAGCCTTATCCAGCACTGTTTGCGACTAGTGCCAGCGCTGCAAGGACTTGGTAGGACGATCGTACCATCGCACCGTTGTCCTGACTGTTTTACCGACCGACCATTTGTCTTGTTGATCGCAGATTTAAGAGTTATGTACTAGGGACCGGTAGGACTCGCTGTGCAGTAGATGTACTGTGGAAATCTAGTGTGCAGTTAAAGTCAAACATCACCTTTTCAAGATTATCCCATGCTGGGGTGTCCGAAACGAAAAGAAGTTAGGGTCTGCATAGGATAGAAAAGGCCATCAGAGTCAGGAGGGCTTCGTAATCCAGTTCAACCTGATGACTTTGGGGTCTGTACTCCCTTCCCCCCTCCCCACACTGTCAACGATATCTTCTCCAGTAGACATGCAGGGAAATCTATTGTGCGTCACAAATATATCACGGCGACGTGATGGAATCCTTCAGGTACCTTACGACTGACCAGAGTATCAGCGATGCTCTGCGTTATAGCGACTTCGTTGCCTCAGACTCTTTTCAAGCAACCAAGACGTCCCGTTACATGTAAGTGGGGTGTTCTGCGAAGTCTGCGTCACGTCTTGACTATCTTCACACAATATCCATTAAAGCCTCGTGGTCGAGTCTTCCGGCAGCCTGACATTTTCTTCATTAGCGTATTGCCATCATATCGACATGTACTACATGGTTTCATGCTATTTACAGTTAGGGTCGAGCTAGTAGCTCCACAAGCAGAAAACTAAGTACGTCGTCTGGTATCGTTTTTAGTCATGTGTCCTTCGTCTTCTTTAACACACTTAGTGATAGCCGAATGTCATCCAATGAATCGACCTTCTTCAATGCGCTTCAAACGAAATCAACTAGGTGACCCCCTCCCCCCAATTCGGGAATTTTCCGAATGATCACCGGATTCGGGTATTCGTTTCGTGCCACTATTAAGTCCCGGCAGTACTTGCTGTGCAGTATATGTACCTTGGAAATTCGTTTGCAGCTAAACATCACCATTCCAAGATTATCAGGAAGGCCGGCAGACTCATATAGATGCAACATCTTTCATTAAGGGAATAAATAGGAGGACGTGAATTAATTATCACCTTTGCCAGCACCATTGGTACAGAGTGGTAAGCTTCATGTACATATCAATCTGGGTTGCACCTAATATACTAAGGGCATCATGCCAGCACAATGTATACAGTTGGCCAAGATAAAATTGTAATGAGGTCTCTTTTTGTCGTTCCGGGCATCCTACGCGTATTAAAAAAATTGATTATGGGTGTGCTAAAACTAGCTAGGATGCTGTCGAAATAAATGTACAAAGTAAGCGAAAAATACACCAATGTGGGTATTTGATCTGCACATGTTGTTGTGGCTTTCATATGAACAGTACGACACGTCAAGTTCTAACAACATAGAACAGTCTGGGCGTTGTTGATGAAGCCCGCGAGGCGTGTGAAGTCATCTTGGAGGAGAACAAGAGACAACTTGCTGTTCTTAATCCAAAACGCACAGCCGCTAATTTGGTGGACTCGTCTTCATGTGGTCAGGGGTTTGCTACAGAGTAGCTACCCATCAATGGAATCTGTACTTCCGAAACGCAAAATAGACTCGACATGCAAAAGGCACCTACCTGGCCATGGTAGAAAGTAAGAATAAAGTTAAAGTGATGACCTGTATATTACCGCGTGCCAGCCTCTGTCGGGGCCTCGTCAGTGGCTTTGTCAATCTACAAGTATAAACTATCCGACCTATAGCTATCTAAGACCTATAAAAATCCAGGAAGCCTCTAAAAACCTTCCATGTGGAGTCGATCCCAGTGCAACTTGCAATTCCAACATGTATACATCGTACCCTATGTATAAGATGAAGGTAATGAAGCCGCAGCGAAGATCGAATGTGAGACGTGAGCAAATCTCGCCTCTGCCAGCCCACTAGTACGGACAGTATGGTACTGGCAAGCTGCATGTCCATGTCGCTCTAAGTGAGAAACTTTGCATTCAAGTGTGAAAGGAGGGTCTCTAGCCTGACTATCGCCGACGAGTACGCACTGGATCAGTCGATCTTCCAGGAGGTAACCGATTACCATGCAGATATTTCAATCTACTAAGCACTCTGCAAGCCGCATTAAAGTGCCCGCGAGATGTTCATGCGCCTGACAGCCGCCCTTGTGTAGTGATATGGTAGCGCTCAAAGCGAAACGTGGTTTGAGCTCGAAATCTCAACTGTCATACGTCTATGACCAGAGCTGGAGACAAAAATGACGACTTCGAGCGACGAGCACAGCTGGCACCATGTTAATAGTCGACTGTCATGTACTCGGTGTTGTCTTCAAAGCCATGAACCGGTTCGATCTGAAAAAAGAGGCTCGACATTTTGTTGTGGGTAGGATGTATCCTTAGCATCGCTTTTCGGAGAATGGAGCCTCTGGTGGCGGGATGAAGCATGCTGTCTCAGTGCGTCAATTGTAGAGATCAGCTCGTAAGGAAGAAACCTATTTGAATCCGAAACGGAAGTTAACGATTACTTGCTCGTCAAATGAAATCTTAATCGTGAAGACATGAAAGACAGTGGTTGCGGATAGCACCACACGTTGATGCATGTAAGACACTAGTGTTGAAAGCCAGTGGTTGCGGATAGCACCACACGTTGATGCATGTAAGACACTAGTGTTGAAAGCCAGTCCGAGCGTGAAGACTGCTCATTAAGTATCTTTTGCAGCATCACGCCAGAGCCTTCTATTGCTTGTTATAATGTGATTGTATCTTGAAATTTGCGCTAGCAAGCTGCGCTCATCGCCACTGCGTTAGACCACGTAATTTTGTGACAAGAAGACGGTGTTCGCCTGGTGCAATTGGTTGATTGACTACTGAGGTACGGGCCATTAAGTCTGCTATTGAAATGAAACTCGAGGACCACTCAAGTCATTCAAGACGCTGAGGATTTCTCGTCAGCAATGTGGGGCACTTCGCACTTCGCACATCTAAACTACTAAATAGTCTTTTTGTATGCCATTGGCACCTCGGATGGCAGACAATCAATCAGGTGAACCTCAAGCTCATAGTGTAGCAGATTGTCTGGCCACTCTGCCGCCATTGTCAACTTCTCCTCGGCAACAAGTATATAAGTAGAAAACATAACGATGAATACGTTTAATCTCTTCGCACTGCACTGCGAATGGGTCATTCAAGTGGAGAACAGGCACCAAAAGTGTTGTAGAATAATAGAGATTGCCCACTGCACCAGGCGACGACAAAATTGATAGCTATTCAATGGTGAGGCTGACGCGAAAATGGGACTGCTCTCGATGCCCAAGAAACTGTAAGTGCTCTGCTGTTTACTACAATTAAGATTGTGCAGCGATACACGTTATATGGTAGTAGACAAACAAAATCAGTAGCCGGGGTCTGTTCTCCCGAGGACTGCGTGACTGTTCGTTCAGAACTACCCGTCTGTTGTTTGATGCATATATGTGCCAGACGTAAAAAACTGTCTAAACTGAAGAGCGCCAAAGCTGACCTTAGCAAACATCGCCTGAGTACTGCAGCAATTAATGTAGATCTTGTAACCGGAATACCGAAATAAACGTTGGATCCAAAGCCATAGAGCTTCGGCGTGGAAGAAGTAAAAAGCCCAAAATCAAAGAGAGAAAATTACGTAGATAACGGTTATACTACGGAAAGTACGATCAAGAGAGAACCTCACAAAGTGACATGATACCGAATATGTCTGCAGCGCGTGCATTCCCAGCTTCTACAATGAAAATGGGAGGATGTCGGGCCATTAAAGAGCTTTTACAGGAAATTCAGTGTCGGACTGTACGTCATGTGAGCGATCGGTGATGAATCAGCCCACCCGACGATCGCAGGCTCCATGCTCATTGTTATTTCTTCGGCCATATCACTCTCCGTCCAGTGCGAATAATCACCGAATGACGTATGTTCGGAGTGTTCATCAAAATGCCAGCAACTAGGTGCACCATAGTCAATTGCCACTCTCGAAGACCTGTGAGACCTTGACAAGTCAGTCAATGAATTCTGATAGTCCGGTAGATGCACGGAAACCTGCACTTGGTCGTCACAGAAACTGTATTGAGCTTCATTGGTTTCAAAGTTCACCTTTTGATCGTCAGTTCCCATGTGACCGACACGATCATCAAATTCAGCGAGCCAATAGTCACTCATGCGCTCACTCTCACTGCAGTACACAATAGGCGGAGGCGTCAGTGCGCTAATCGTCGGTGACGAGACCAAAGCTGATGAGAATGGCACTGGTTCCAACGGAACACTCATCTTCTCTGGCTTCAGTGTCTTGATTTCGTCTTGCATCTGTTCCAATGCCGCTGTTGCTCGAATCTCCACGAGCATTTCGACTTTTTGTCTCTTATTTTCTTCGTGCATTTCCCGTCTCAATTCATCCAACGATTCAATCTTTCGTTTTGTCTTGTACTCGTCTAAGGTCGATCGTTTAGCAATCTTAGGCGTCGGTACAAGTCTCAGAACTCGATCGTACCAGTCGTTGAAATTACTTTCTTTTGTCCGGTTCTTGGCACTGCGTTTCCCGTACTCGTCCTTTGCCCAGGCCTTGAGAAACTCAGCACGTAACTGCCATAGTTCACTGCACAGCTCATTGTATTGCTGCTGTGTCATGGCGTCCAGTTTACTTGAACTGCGCTTGTACTTGGCTTTCCCTTCAAACTGATGGCCATGCATTTGCTTCTTGGAAATTCGCATGGGACAGCAATTGAGCATCTGAGCGAGCCATGAACGTAGTGACGTCTTGGTTTCGATCTCATCCAGTAGACCGCTTTGAAAGAGCATAATGAGCTTCTCAAGGTACGCGTCTTCCTGGCGACTCCATTTGCCAAAGCGGACAGGCACGTTCCGATCGCGTGCGCTCTGCAGGAAAGTCAAAGCACGGTCAGTAGATCCTTTAGAATGAGCAGGCGAGAGACTGGGGTGAAGAAGGCTCACAGCACTGGACGGACTGCTGAAGGTAAGTGAGCGCTTTGTCCGAAGCGGACTCGTGCTGCGTTGAAAAGCAGAATGTTTGTCAGTCATGGACAAAAAAAGAGGTCTGCCGCCTTGAGCGCAAATTGAAAAATGAAGTAAAGATGAAAAGGTGAAAAAAAGTGAAATGGACCTGTCGCTTTTGGCAAGGTGAGCCCAGATAGACAGTTTTTATCACGTATGGAGTTTGTGGCTGAATGGAAGATCTGGTGGTGTTAGTGGGGGGGGGGACACAAGCAGCTGTGAAGGACAGGACAGAGAAAAGGGAATTTAGTGTCGTATCGAGAGTGGTGAAAGCGGTGTGTTGATTCTGATATGTCTAGTAGTTACGATCACTTCAACTTGAGATACACTCGACAACCAATGAAAAGAAGAAAAACGGATGGCGATCTTCGTTTGACACAAAACTGAATTTAGATCTTGATTAATGGCATTCCTAAACGTCTATTATGATTTGGATGCTTGGGTTTCTGTGTTATTAGATGAGATCAAGTGGCGAAAGTAAATATGTGGTCTAGCCATTGATTGTCCGACAAATGACGTCCATTTAGCTGATAGAAATCAAGAATAATAGCCAGCTGCTACTGACGAGGCCAACGCAACTTGTCTTCGATCTCAGTTTAACACTGACTGTATAAGACCTGGAATCCTGACAGCTTCGCCAAAGTTTGTGCGACATGGTCTCTTACGTGACCACCACTTGCGTTTGGAAGAGCCGGAATGCAAGTTGAAGTGATCGCGCCCTTTCGCGTTACGCACTTTCGTACTTTAACAAGAGCTATTGTATAATTTTTCGAAAACTACGCAATCGACCAAGTTTATGTTAATTAGTAGCCTTAAATTGAGCTATAACCGTTTTGCTGTCTTCGTTGTAACGAGATAATTAGCTCTTCCTATAACTCGGTAGAACAATGAACAAAAGTTCTCCACCTTGCGCTTTTATATTTATTTGTACCGTTGCAGCTGCTCGCACTCCTTCAGTCATTTTCTGTTGCTGAGGACTACTAGATTATATGTGTTCAACACCATGCCTCTAAGCACAATTGTACCGTGTTTGCCATGTAGGATATCGACAGGGTGCGCAAAGTGCGTTATGCTGATCATGGCCCTATCATCTAGGAGAAATATCGTATCGTGATCACCAAGTCGTTTACCAAGTGTCAGACAATTGTCCTGTCCGACAATTGTGCAGGTATCATGCGACTCCCAAGCGTTTTAGCTGCGCCGGCCACAGGTTGATTCGAACTGGTCAGCAACTCTCGTCTAGTACGAGAAAGATACAGCTCTTGTGCAAACTCGCATGGTGAGTCTTAATTTTTCGGAGCGTTTTGATTTTTTTGTGATAGTAATTGGAAATACTACTGCATACTATTTTGATATTGTTGTCCGACCCGTATGCTGAGTGTGGAAGTTTGTGATGTTACACCACTACTATGCTCTGGTATAAGAGTTGATAATGATCCAATTTCAAACAAAGTTCTTGAGATTCTGCACTCGTTTATTTACGATTGATAGCTTAGCATATCAGTCCTACCGCAGATAAAGGGCACACCTGGAAGTCAAGAAAGCCTATTGATGAACAGAATTTCCATGCAGCATCCTATTACTCAATTCTTTCATAATTATCATCTTACGGGGGGGGGGGGGTGTACATGGGTCAATTTATTAGCTACCCTCACGTTTCAGTGATTGCCTAGCAGGTATCCACGACCAGACATCCTCGCACTAGTGTCCGCTGAATACACATTCCGATGTTCGCAGCAGTCTGGCAAAGAGCTCGCTTTGATGTTTACAGTCGCTACTAATGAAAACACATCCGTCATTCGATAGAGTTACACTATTCTTCAAGGGATCAGATGCAAGTTGTAAAACGACTCTACCACAAACATGGAGATTGACTCAAAGATAAGGTCATGGACAAGTCCAAGGAAGACTCTAATGCAATAACTGTTTAAGGCTCTCGTGACGAAGAATCAAGGAAGTCCTTCAGATTCTATACGTCCAACGTGACCATAGCGGTAAACAAACTGCGCAGGACAATTGTCTATTTACTAGCAAACTTGAAGTGATTTGTTGCGTTACTATTCGCCAATCGCGCATTTAAGTGTCAATGGTGTAGCTTTTCTAAACAGATGTTATTTTGCGGCTCAAATGTCCGTTTTCTGTTTATTTACATGATAAACAGTCCAGATGTTTGTTTTGTATACTCTTGTCTAAATTAAGTACTTTTTTCGGGATCCAAAACTCGCGATGTCACGGCGTAGGGAGATCAAAATGCTGTTGACACTAGTAGAAGTTCGCGCAGCTTTCGAACAGCAGATATTGCTAGCCGTGACGGATGTGCTGGACATTATTCATGAGGCGCAGTTTCTAATGAACTTGGAGCCTATCGTGGTTTCTGTGCTGGAACGAGCTTCAACTTACGGTAATGAGCAAGCGACCTTACAGTATAGATAAAGAAAGTACTGGCCACTAAGCAGTAATGACGAGTTCAATTTTGTTGCCAGTTTTTGGTGACATTCATGGTCAGTTTTACGATCTGATGCAATTGATGGACGCCGTTGGGGTGACTGAACTGGCGGGTGGGTGGGTACATATTTACTACAAAAAACAGCTGGTTGTAAGTTTCTAATTAGAAATTCGTTTGTTGTATTTCTGAGTTAGAAAAGGATGTTCAGTTGGTCTTCCTGGGAGACTATGTCGATCGTGGAGCCTTTTCGTGTGAAGTCATGCTGTACCTATTTCGATTAAAAATTCAGGTACGAAATGTTCGATAAAATCTAACAATAATTTGATAATAACTAATAAATAACACATGATGTCCATAATAGTTTACCAACAAGGTATTTCTCCTACGTGGGAACCACGAGTGTGAATCCATTTCATCTTTCTATGGATTTCGCAGTGAATGTAGGTACACAATCAATCAATTTATTGTAAATTTTGATCCTAATCTAACATAAAAATGATACTGATAACAAGGCCGAGGCAAGTATGGTATCTCGATATATTACCACTTCTTATCCTGTTTCCAGTCAATGCCAGTGGCTGCATTGTTGGCCACATCACGTGGAAAAATTCTTTGTGTTCATGGTGGACTTTCACCCGAATTAAAATCGATTCAAGATATTCAAGTTATTGATCGACGTCGAGAGATCCCAACAACTGGACTTTTGTGCGACCTTTTATGGTCAGACCCTGTGACTTCAAAACGTCATGGAATGGACGCAAAGGTGGACACTCAAGTATCTTGGAAACCCAATCAGGTGTTGTACTGAAAACAAAAGTGTCCATGACATTTGAGATTTTTTGTCTGAGTAAAGTATTATGTGAAAAACAGGCTCGTGGCTGTTCCTACTACTTTAACGCAGCAGCGACGTTCGAATTTTTGGGTAACAATCAGCTACTTTCGTTGATACGAGCTCATGAATATGACGATGAAGGCTTTACGTTTCACTTCAACTCTGAGGAATTCGAAAAACTGGACAACCGAGACGACAAGCTTATGCCTCCACTTATCACAGTCTTTTCGGCACCAAACTACTGCGATAGCTACGGCAATACGGTACGTTGTCCTTTTCTAGCAACCTCATTTATTGCGATTTGGTAAGACTTGTACGTGTTTTTTTCGTGGGGTATATTGCTAGGCTGCCTATTTGCTCTTTCGAAATAAGCCTTTTTCATGGGAAATCCAGCAGGTCAATACGGTGGGGCACCCTCCTCCACCGATTGCAAGTGCTGAGAGAGGATCCGATATGTGGCGATTATTTAACGAAACACTACCATTTCTTCCAGCTAGCAAGAAATTTTTCGAGGAGGTATTGTGGTTGGCTCAAAGACAACGAGCTCAAATGGGATTGCAATGTGCACCTAATTCTTCGGCTGGCCACGATGATGTTAGCAATCACAGTGGAGTCACTTTGGCTGAAAATGAAACATTACCAGGTAAAGCTACGGTGAAAAAAAGAAGGTGTGATATGTATGTACCCTCATGAGTCTCTTAACTTGTCTGTATTCGGTTTACAGAACGGCGCCGACGTATGTCGAGTGAAATGCACCCACAAGCTATCCGAAAGGTGCTGGACGATGAAGTAAATAAGTGGGAAATGGTTGAAGACAAAACGCAGCATTGTTTTCCGGGGTCGAAAACTCCTCCGCGTATTCATCGTAGACCATCTTTGAGCAGTGTGGAGGAGAAGCAGACCAACGAGCGGCCAAATGTGAGATTACGTACTTTGTCTTAGGCTTGAAGATCAAATTCGATATGTGGTTTAACGCTCTCCCAAACGTTTCTTTCATCGGTAGCTGCTGACTACGCAAGAACTTGATACTATAAAGTTAATGTTTTCGTTGATGGACACGGACGGCAGCTTGGAGTTGAACTCGGCAAAGGTTTCACAATTCGTACTCAATATTCTGGGTACGTGTGTGTTACATGTTTAAAAGCCATCAAAGGTGTCACTTACTTTCTTTTGCAGGTGAAAGGATCAGCACTGCTGATGCTAACAGTTACCTAGATGCTCTGGATTATGACCGAAACGGTGTAGTGGACTTTGTGGATATTCTCTCGTGGATTGCAGTTATGAAAGCGAACCACAACAATCACCACTCAAGTAGCTTTCTGAGTTTGTCAAGTCTACAAATTGGTGCGCGACTACTGACACGCGAGTTCAATGCTACAAAAATCTACTTGTGGCTGGCATTTCTATGCATGTTGCGAGACATCATTGTTCCAAAGCAGCGAAAAGTGATCAAATCGTCATATATTCGCCTGCTTGGTTCCATCTCACTTGTGCTGTATATTCTGGGTCTTTTATCTGGAGAAAACACTGGTCGAAAGCGTGTTTGGCCGCGCTTACCTTGTCGATCAAGCAGAAACTTTTGTGGAAGTAAAAATGGATCTGACGACCAGTCGAGAGAAGGTGATTAATGGTATAATATCACTGATTAACGTAACACACAACCTTTAATTAATGGTCTTCTAGGTCAAATTTTAAGCAGGGTCTTTTAAATGAAAAACTCAGAGTCGAGCGCAACAATTTTGCACCATAGCAGTTAATTTTTAGCTCTTCTACTAAAACTATGGTCGCTCCTTTTATAATTGAATACACCTCCTTTTTTTATACGACAGCACTACCTTCGAAACTACATACCGTTGCCCGTCTTCATAAATTTAAAGCTTAAAAAATGGTAAGCGTTGGAACTTTAGAATCTGTCTGTCTGAAATCGACTCGCCCCTCTTTAGTAATAATCAAAACCTCATGTATGTCCATCTATAGGCTAATCAGTCAGCCAAGAAGGCTCAACGTGCAAGTGTATCGCTTAGTACACGCCTACAGCAGTGGATTGTGCCTATTAATGTGCTGTATCTACTGTACTGCATGGTGTGGCACTACAATTCAGTCACATTGTGGACACTTGTGGGTTATGTCTTTTTGACATTGTCCACCTATTTCTGCTATTCGTGGGTGGTTGGAGCAGCTCAGGAAGGAGGCAGCAGCGAGTATGTAACTCACGCTCTTCACCCTCTAATAATTGATACCTCTTACTGAATTATAGAAACTTACAGATGGACCCTCTTTATTGAAATGTCTCTTTTTTAGGTACGCGATGGACATTTTAATCGTTACGCTATTCGTGCAAACTGGACTTTTGATTTCGAGTTATTTCTGGCTCGTCTACCTCGTTATCCCGGGTTACCTGTTGTACCACGGAGGTCGTCTACTTCTTAATTACGTTTTCACACCGAACGCAACGGACGAAGACGATCCCAATGCTTTAAAGAAAAAGGAAAAAGCAGAGCGGAAGGCTGGACGCCCAAAATTCAAGAATAACCGTCGGTAGAGAGGGGGTGGACACCATTGTTTTTAGCAGAGAGAGCACTATGATACTTAATCTACAGAACGTGAGAGCTAAAGAGGCTGGACAAGCTCATTTTTGCCACCTTGCCATGTAGGTCCTGTCGATCGGGTGACATGCCCTTGATACAAAGTAGCTGAACTCTTATCTGTGTCAATAGTGCCTCCAAATAAAAAGCTTGTCGAAAAAATTGCGAGGAAAATCTCTTTCAATTGTAGCAAAGTCTGGTCGTGACATTTAGCTGAAACAAAAGAGTTTCCTCACAAAACGTCATATTTGCCACGGAGGTCGAGTACCTTGTGATATAGTGTTATCGATTTGTGGAGTTGATGGGTAGAAAGTCTCTTGACGTGGTGAATCAGAGGGTTGTACTACGATAGCAGCAGGTTTTTCTCTTGTCGAACTTGTCAAGGATTGTTGAGTCTCAAATGATCCACTAGTTTGCTCTTCTTGTTGCTTATGAATTTGTGTCACAATGGCAGAAATGGTCTTGGGATGAAATGGCAAACTACTTGGTGCGTCCGGATTTTCAAATGGATGTCGAGCAATCTCATACAAGAGATCTTCAGGTAAACGATGAAGTAATTGTAGAGCAACTGAAACAAGTAGATCAGACTGGAGAGGTGGTACACAACGAAGACTCAGCACCTTCATTAAATCCATATCCCTTTTTGTATCAAAGTAACAAAAACACAAATGTCTGTATCAGTATTTGCCGACTATAACGATACAAAGAGTGTAACAACGTACAGTTGCAGTAGCTGTTCACGAAGTAATACCGTATGTGCAACAGCCAATACGACCACAAAATGAACGCCTACTGCAAAAAGCTGACACAAAAATAAGTACAATTAGGTATCTCTAAATTAAAACATACCATAAGTTAAAAGTATTGCAAATCATTCAAACCGTACCACATCCCAGACACGAAGAAGTTCATGCAGTGGTGGTACACACGCAAACAAGCTCAAGATCAGTGGGAGAGCGTATATTCGTGCCGTAATACCTCGTTTCAACAGATGCTGATATAACTCTGGGTCCAACTGTTTTCAAATAATCAAAGCAATAGTATCACAATTTAATACCAAAGACAGCAACCACTAAACGAAAAGCAAGTAAAAAATACCGTTTGTAAACATTTGTCCACAAGGGCGCAGCCTTTTTCCACCCCTTTCAGTTGAGGTGCCATATAATGTGGACAATGTCGTACAATTAGTTGACAAAACGTGTGGTATGCATCCGGTTCCGGTAAGACATACAACAAGGGGGCACATAACACATTCATTCCTTGCACATATCTGTTTTTTTTTTCACAAAACAAAAAAAATAGAACGATAAAAAATCATTTTTACCACCTCAACAATTTTGTTTTTGCTTTTGTTTTCAAAACCTGATCAATGGCAAATTTCCACCATGTGCATGTTTGCCTTCGATTTGTTTTTCGTCGCCAGGGTCTGAACCCAATTCATTGATAAAAACATTCAACAGTCGCACTAATTTTTCTTCTGGCACACGTTGTGCAAATTCCGGATCGCCTCGAAACGTTCGAAACGTATCGTTTCGTATATCACCATCATAATGAGACGCTCCACGACCGACAAGTGCCGCATATTTTGTCATGTCCACGTCATTTTCTACCCCTAAAAAAGCCTTCCACACTCTTCCTCGTAAAGAACAAAGGCTGGAATTTGCATCAGGAGTAGAATCCTCATCTCGAGGTAGACCCTTTACAATCACGAGCCGTTTAAGCTCTCGCCAACGCTCATAGTCAGATGTAATCGAATCGTCAGCCAATAGCGCATCGTATTGCTGGCGCAATGGAGTGCTCATGATGAATAGAGTCAATCTGTTTATGATTGGTGGAAAATATATAGAGAGTTAGACTCTTGTATGGAGTGCGTGGCACATGTTTTAAGTTGCCACATTTCATTTGTGTTGCCGAGAGTGAGTGATGGAAAGGGAAGAGACAGATTTTAGCGTAGAAGTGGGCACTCGCGTGCTGGTTGGTGGCAAATATGCAGGGGTGAGGGTTCACTTAACGCGACAGGGGGGCTTTTTTGCTTTTTGCCACGACAAACTGACTTTTTTTTACTTGTTTAGGTCATTCGTTACGTGCCAAAGCGTCGCACTGCTTTGGTGGGAATCGAACTTACCCGAGCACGAGGCGACAACGACGGGGCTACGGAGGATGGTCAACGTTTCTTTGAATGCAAACCATTGCATGGCATTTTTGTTCGCGAAGAGCAACTTAGTGTGCGTAACTGTTCCATTTTTCTGGTTAGTTGTTTTAGGTCTTTTTTACTAATTGTTCATTGGTCAGGCTTTTTCGGAAGGAGATGGGGCTGCATGTGTTTTGCAAAGTATCTGGCGACGGTACAGCGCATCGCAAAAATTTCGTCATCTGGTGTTTGCCCACGCATGGAATTTGTTGGATAACACCCAAGAGCAACTTAACCTGAAACGCTCGGAGCAATTCAAGTCGGCAGAACATACACTTGCACAATTGACCAAAACACAGGTTGGTAAAAAAAGTGAAGATTTTGTGTTTCTTTTCTTTTGCCATATTGACCTGATATGTTTTAGTCTTTGTCACGTACAGTCTCAGATGTTGCCGTATCTGAGATCAAGATCAATTCGACTTACTCTGGCCCTCATGTGGTCTGGCCTTTAGAATTATCAAATGTGTTGGCAATTTTGGATTCGTTCAAAACGACACAAATTTTGCACTATAAATATGTGCTGGAAATTCTCAAAGCAAGTGTACGGTCTTTTTCACCGTTGCCAACATTGCAAGCCATTTCACTTGAAAACGATGAAAAACTTACTGTGGTTGGGGATCTCCATGGTCAATTGCAAGATCTTTTCTCTATCTTTTCCATCAATGGTCTTCCTACTCGTACAAACAAATATCTCTTTAATGGAGATTTTGTAGATCGGGGAATGTACGGTATAGAAGTCATGATGACGATCTTGCTTTTCCGTCTACTGTACCCAACCAGTGTTTTCCTTAACCGTGGGAATCACGAATCCCGTAATCAAAATTCATGGATGGGGTTTGAAGACGAAGTATGGATGAAATATTCCGGCATCGAGGACGACGATTTGGAACGCCCGGTTCATGTTTTTGAAAGTTTTCAAACCCTTTTTGGGTCCCTTCCACTTTGTGCTATTATTCAAGACAAAATTTTTGTCGTTCACGGTGGGTTATTTTCACGTGATAATGTCACATTGGCCCATTTGCGTGGAATTTCACGAAAACGAGAACCGCCGTTGCATCAACTGAATTTTCAAGATAAAATTTTTGAAGATTTATTATGGAGTGATCCACGTCCCATACAATCTCGTCAACCGTCGGAACGTGGGGCTGGGGTTGAATTTGGTATTACCGTAACAAATAATTTTTGTTTCGTAAACAAAATTGCCCTGATTATTCGTTCGCACGAGTGCGTAATCGAAGGATTTGAAATTTTGCATGGAGGTCGATTGATTACGCTCTTTTCAGCGTCAAGATATTGTGGCACTCAGATGAATAAAGGGGCTTTTTTGACTTTTGGGACGGATTTACAGCCGGAAATTCAACAATTTTATGCTCAGTCGATCACTGAAAGTACATTTCAAGCACCGGCACAAGCTCAGATGCAAAATTTATTGGAAGAAGATACACTTCGGATGATTGCCGAACGGATTTGTGACCATAAGGCGTCATTATACTGGTATTTTACCCAACATGATGACGAGCATAAGGGTACGGTACCTCGATTGATTTGGGCGGAAGCTCTTCGATCGGTATTACAATTGGATTTGCCGTTTTTGACCTATCAATCAAAACTTGCTGAATTGGTCGATGAAACTTCAGGACGTATCAATTATTCTCACTTTCTGGCTCGGTATCGCATTGAGAATAATGCAATGGACAATTGTGGATGGCAAGAAAGCATTATTGCACTTATTTGCAAGAAATTGTATCGTGCAATGGGTGCGGGTGATGTACAGCAAGCGTTCAAGGTATTTGACACTGATTCAAGTGGCTTTATTGAATATGAAGAATTTGTCACGACACTGAAGCAAATGGATACGGGATTGGCGGATCAGCACGTTTATGAGCTCATGCGCACAGCCGATACGAACGACGATGGACGTATTGATTTCAACGAGTTTGCTCAGCGTTTTGAGGTTATCTTTACGGACCAAGGTAAGAATCGCGAAGAAAAGTTGTCCGAGGTGGCAGCGGTGGAGCCATCTCCGACTCTGGAGGCTGTAGATGCAGAAACTATGCGTGAAAGCCACAAGACCGTGGCAAAGCCCATCTTTGCGCGTAGGGTGTCATCAGTAGACGAACAGTCAGCGTTCACGCCGCAACCTGCAAGAAATCTCGACGTGGAGACCATGGAGGCACTATTGCAGGTTGGCAAGGCGCTGTTCTCCCGTCCTGGGTCGTTGCAGTATCACTTTTGCCACTTCGATACGAACCAGGATGGTGTTCTCTCTCGTAGCGAGTTTAAAGACGCCCTTGACCATTTAGGTTTCAACTTCGAACCGAGTCTAATGGATCGGGTAATGGCTGCTGTGGACAGTGATGGAGGTCATTCGATCGACTACAAGGAGTTTGTGACGGCGTTTAGTGTACAGGATCTGAAGGAACAATCAGCACTCGAGTCTGGCGACCTCACGTGGCAGAACTCGGTGTTACAACAGGTCTCCAACGTGTTTTACCAGCATCGTATCCACATTCGCAATGCCTTCCGCATGTTTGACGCGTCGAATAGTGGAGTCATCAGTCGCGACAATTTCCGTACAGGTATCCAAGCTTTCAACGTGGTGCTCAATTCTCCGCTCTCAGATGACCAAATTGAGGAGCTGCTGTCCTATCTCGACAGCAATAACGACGGCGTGATTAGCTACAAGGAATTCTTTAATGGCTTCCGTGTGGTGGACGTACGCGTTGATGAGGACAAGTCGACGGGGAGGAGACCACCAGTGGAATCTACAACGGAAGACTAGACATTCCTGTAGGTAAGTTTTGGTGATTGAAGTCGTCATGAACATTGCAAAACTTTAAATAAACATTGAAGGTGTTGTTTACACCCGTGCTAACTCATTGTCTAGAGCTCTTTGGATGTACGTTGCTGTAGCAGCAATTGCACTTGTTCCATCATTGGTGTCAAGTCGCAGCTTTCTGTGGGGATGGCCACCTTCCAGTTGAACTCTGTTTACTATTGTACAAGCACGACGTGATCATGTGTGTAAAGCTGGTACGTTTGTCATCCTTGTTCACACTAAAGTAGCTCGGGTTGGTACCCGAAAGCACAAAATATTGTCGCATTCGCCGCCGTCTCAGCAGTTATGGACCACACCATCCCGAAAACCCGCCAGTCTGGAACTCAATGTAAAAGTAATTGTATCCGTTCGATAGAGCTGTGTGTGGCCTTGCTTCCTAGTTGTGAAGAAGTAGGGAGTATTCGCCATCACATCGTCTATCCGAAAATCAAATACAATGTGTAGGCACCAAGTGCTACAAGTGGTGACATCAGTATCCTCATCTTGAGGCTACGTGCCCGACGATTTTTTTCGATACTTGTATCCTTCGATGTGATCAAAAACCAATGACTGGTCTTTGACGGATCATGCATATAAGACACGACGTCCCATCCATCGTATGATTGAATGGAGAAGTAGCCATCGGACGTCTCCACAGAGTAGCCCTTTGAGTACTGCAGATGCGGCACAAAAACTTCCGTTGGGTGCATGGACGTTTCACTGGGCATGCTCGAATTGGAGACGTATTCTAGCTCGTAGCGCACACGATCAAGCAGAAATTCCGACTTTAAAGGAGTACCAGCAATACGTGTGGCGTAGGGTCGAACAAATGCCCGAATCGCTCGCGCACAGGCGTCTCGATCCGGTACTGCAAGTGGTCCGTCCGATCGTCGAGGCTTGTCCTTGCTGATCAAACTCAAGTCTTCCATATTCCATTGGTCGCCAAAGTCGTTGCAGTTGTCGGACGTGTAGCACCAAAGGGTGAAGGAAACCATACAAGCCTCGAGACACGAAATTGTATGGTCCAGGGCTCCAACCTGTGCACTAAAATCGCCGTTTCGAAAAGCTTTACCACCGTGCATGTTAAACGGGATGCCCGTTTCACCAATGAGTGTTGGCGCGTTATTCATCTGCTCATGACCATATGCCTTGATGCCCTGTAGTTGCTGCATATGCATTCTACGCACAGCAGCGGAGCCAAATGCAGGTCGCTTGGTCCTCGGGTCCACAGTGAAGTATGGCCGCCAAGCTCGTAGAAATAGCGTGACACCATCATACCAATGCGTAGCATTAACCGCACGTGGGATAAGGGTATCATCGATCTCAGGAAATGCATCGATGCTGAACTCGAGCGGTGGTAGCTCGACAAATAGCAAAATGTGGGGCAAGATGCGGCGAATGCGCTCCGTGAAGCGCTGCGATGACACGAGAACATTGCATGAGGTTAGTTGCGTCTACACTTTATGTAAAAACTTCTTCGTAACGTACCGCTGCAAAGGGCACGTAGCAGTCGCGGCCAAACCTGATATCTGCAAAGTGGTCTGGACGCAGCAGCACCGGTTTTCCAGATGTGTTATCCACGTCCCAAATCCCTTCCTCCCTCCAAATGCAGCGTCGCCCTTGCTGCCAAGCGCGAGATCCATTAGGGTCCACCGTCACGAGCTCATCGGGTCGTCCTAGTATGTGTTGGTTCGCACCATTCGACCAGCGTTGAACAACCTGCTCATAGCCATCAGCCAGAGCCATGCCTTGAAATGGAGTGGGTGCCAGTCCGTACTTGAGCTCGCCGGGATGAAAGTGCTTGGCCAAGTCTTTTAGTCCCAAATACCCAGAAGATGGTTCGTTCATTGTTCCAAAACCCACTACATTCGTCAATCCTTTCAACGCTTTAGCCAACTCTACCATAGCATTCAAGTAATGTGACTGTAAATACTCTTGTACTTGTACGCCATTGATCTGACACGATGGAGCACACTTAGCTCCTCCCCAAAAGAGCGAAAACATCGTAGCACATGCCATTTTAAAGTAATTCGTAGGCCAAATCATCTTTGGAAACTTGGTGACTTCTACTCCAGACGTCTCAACACAAAGCGCTGCTTTGGTCACGTCAAAGTTTCGTGGTTTTAGTCCAATAGTTTCCAATGTCCACATGGGTGCTCCATCTCCTCCCGTCCATCTTGACCACACATCTTGATGAGGATCCACATAAATACTTAGTCCATAATCTCCCGCCATTGCAATTAAATCATGAAGATATTGTAAATACTCGTGATCATAAACACCTGGTCCAGAATGTTCAATAGCTTCCCATGTGACAATAAACCGAAGAAAAGTCAAACCCCATCGCTCCAATCGAGCAAAATGTACTGACGCTTCAGTTAATGGAAATGGTCGATTGATAAATGAGACATTTTGTGGATTCTCAAAGAATCGATTGAAAGAATTTATCTCGTTTTGAGTATGACTGTACCCAAATGGAAGCTTTGATGTGCCACTTAAATTAACACCACGTAAAAGTCGCACGCGGTCTTGAGCATCGCGAAAGTGACCATTAGAAACAGTTAGATAATTTATATGAGTAGTAGGAGGAGGAAACATATTATTTAGTGGAGAAGAAGATGGAGAAGGAGAAGGAAGAGGAAGAGACGTTCGTACGAGGCTGCGTGGATGGATAAATATATCTGTGACGTGGTTTTATAACGGCTATGGACCTTATAAAGAGATGCGAGTCTTTTTAGCGAATCAAGTGGAAGTGGAAAGAGGATGGGTATTTTTGGCATAAACATTACGATTTGTTTTTTATAAATATAGTATGGTAGTAGTAGACGTAATAATAGTACTATAGACGTTTTTTTATTGTACTATGTATTTTAATATAGTAAAAGATATCATATTTTTATTCTTCTTCTCGTGTAATTTTGATACAGAATTTGGTTCTTGTAGTTGCACGTTCATCGTAGTAATGGGTATACAATCAGACTACTGATGAATGCAACATAATTACAGACAAAACAAGGATACTAATGTAAGTAGTGCTAGCATGAACCAACAACAAGTTCAGGTCGTGCTTTTGATATTCCTTACACATTCTAATTACTGCCGCTAGGGTTGAAACAATCCACAAAGTACTCCCTCTAGCTCTCGTACGCTGTAAACAAAAGTACACGAATAAGAACACACATGTAAAGTTCAAGCACCGATATCCAAAGGTAGGACAACTTTACGCCGGTGCTAATGGTCCACCACCCAAGAAGTGGCATCAAACGGCTTCAGTAGAGCGAACAAAATCAAACGTTTCAACAGCTCATTTGATAGAAATTTCAAGCTTTAACAAGCAGATGAAGAAAGATCCATTTGTATCCCTTGGGTTTGAGCTATACGTCGTATATCGATCGTCCCATGACAACGTATTGTTGTAATTGTCGTCACTCGGATAATAGAAATCGGTCTTGTCTGATCCCAAATATGTCGCGGTCTGAATGTATCGGTCCTATCTTGCATCCTAAACCTGTCTTTCGTCATAAAACCTATTCTAGTAGTCCTATATCCGGATCGAATAATTATGACTGTATATCCCTCCGCCCGTCTCTATTCCATATCAGTTACCCAATCAGATTTTGGCTAGTGTTCCAGTTGCTCGATGCTCGATAGCAGCTGGTACGACAGAAGAGACTTTCCTATACAAATCCCAAGTCACGTCCTTCCCCCTTATTTGACAACACAATCACCTGCACAATTGAACCACCCCACAAAAAGCACTCACACTTGATCGAGTCTCAGTCGTCTTTTTCTTCAGACAAGAAACTGAAGGTGAATAAATAGACACTTTAATAGGAGGGATCGAAGCAGTCAAGTCAAGTCAAAAGAGCTTTGCAGTTTCTTGCACGATACATTGATAATGAGTGACTATCGTGGGCCGAAATTTGTGGGCATTATGGGCCATGATAATGTCAGTCATAATGGTAGCAAGACGACTGTCTACTTTGTGCAAGTACAGGTGCCTGAGGGCATGTTTATTGTCCGACATCGATACCATGAGTTTAAAGACTTTTACGATAAGGTAACGAAGGACCTTTTGAAGGACCTATTTCTTTTGAGAGGGGGTTTACTAACATGGGTACACTTTTTCTCTTTCTTAGTTATCAAGTGAAGGATATCGTTGTCCAGTTTTACCACCCAAGAAATTCCTTGGGAATAACAATAAAGAATTTATTGAAAAACGACAGCAGGAATTGGCCAATTGGCTACATCTTTTATGTCAATACGATCCAGCATCTGGTACTTCTGATCCTCGTACATCCGAGCTCTTTAAAGAGTTTATGTTAACAAACGTACGTGTTATTGTTGTTTATATGGTAGTATTAGCTAGTCGTAGAATCTGTGACATGTGAGACTGACTAGTATGTTTGATGTTTATTTTTTGTGGTATTCAGAAAGAGCCTTTGGAAAAGTATCAGGAAGCTAAAACTTTATCGTATGATGCTGCTACACCTCCAACATCACAATCCTCGGAGGCTGATAGTGAAACGGGATTATACAATACGCCCAAGACTACGCTGGATGATTTTGAGCTGCTTAAAGTCATTGGAAAAGGCTCGTATGGCAAAGTGACGCTCGTGCGCAAGAAAGAAGGCAATCGTTTGTTTGCTATGAAATCTCTCAACAAGTCCAATGTGAAACGTCGTAATCAGGTCGAACACACACGCACGGAACGGCGTGTATTGGGACGTGCGAAACACCCGTTTATTGTGCATTTGCACTACGCTTTCCAGACGTCGCAGAAACTCTACTTTGTACTGGACTACTGCCCTGGTGGTGAATTATTCTTCCATCTATCACGGATGGAGAAGTTTGAGCCAAATATGGCTCGATACTACTGTGCTGAAATTACATTGGCACTGGAACACCTGCACGATTTGGGCGTTGTCTACCGGTATGTAGTGTCCATGCTCTGTATGGATGTTTGCAATGCTGGCACATTGACAATTGATGTTTGTGTCTTGCTTCAGTGATCTTAAGCCGGAGAACATCTTATTTGATCCCGTCGGCCACGTTTTGCTTGGTACGTTACATTTGGTCACGATATGCACACTGTCAGTATTTCTAATGACGTGTTTTGTATCGTTATTATTGCAGCCGACTTTGGACTTGCTAAGGAGGGCATTACCGATGGCGCGGAGGGCACGAACTCCATGTGCGGTACGCCCGAGTATTTGCCTCCCGAGATTCTGGACCGTGTGGGACACGGCACGGCTGTGGATTGGTGGGCGATGGGCATGGTCCTGTACGAGATGCTGACGGGCTTGCCTCCTTGGTACACTCGCAACCGTCAAAAGCTGTTTGACCGTGTGCGTAATGCCCCTCTCACGTTCCCGGACGAAGTCGACCCTGTGGCTCGCGACTTTATCGGTGGACTTCTCCGGCGCGACCCGAACAAGCGTTTAGGTAGCAAGAGTGCAGACGAGGTAAAGAACCACCCATACTTCAGCACCATAAACTGGCAGGATCTGTATGACCGCAAGATCCCGCCTCCGTTCAACCCGTGCGCCACCGCGGGCAACGCTGAGGAGACAAAGAACTTTGAGGCAGAATTTACCAAGATGCAGATCAACAGCGTGGAAAACTCGGCTTTGGGCAGCCTGCGTGTCTCGGACGCTTCACGCCCGTCCATGACATTCCAAGGCTTTACATACAACACGCCTAACGACTTGTCCATGAGCGGTTCTGTTGGCCAGGCCTAAGGTATCCATGTTATGTGATCCCGGTTTTCTCTTGTGGTTTCTATTCGTGGATCCATTAAACGTACGAGCGGCTGCGACGTGACTGCTGGAATGAGAAACGCCTGAGAGCAAGCAAGGAAGAACAGAGGGCGTTGCATGTAGGGGACTGAAGTGCAAGATGGAATGCAAGTCAGCGCGTTGTTGCGATGGGCTGCTCCATCTAAATACAAGAAAGGGTACGCGATTCAAACTGGCAAGCTAGCATAAGAGGGACAAAGTCGACGAGTGTGTTTGTTTGGATATTCAGCGGGACGGTAGGTTGGGAACTCCCGTGTGATTGTTTTTAGTTTGTAAACCAAATGAACTCAAATTTGAAGATCAAAAGTACGCTTCGGGGAAGGTGATGCTTGCATTATGCATCACTTGTTTCATTTTTGTCAGCTGCACCAGCGTTATCATCGGTCGCATCATTGTCAGTGACACCAACATTGTCGTTGCCATCTGAGATTCGGCCGTATCTCACGAGGTTGCGGTATTTGTCTTTCAGATCGACATTTGACCGATTTCGAAGCACATCAGGGTACTTCGTTTTGATGAGCACCCAAACGTTTGCGTAGCTTTCGTAAAGTCTGTAGCCCTTGATCAGGGCTGTCTCTTCCTCCGCTGACCATCGTACTCGTTTGCGTCGGCTAGAAGGACGACCGATCGAGCGAGGCTCACCATCTTCGATTGGCACCTGAATAGATTAAGCGAGACAGACACGTAGGATCATTTCCATGGCCGTCACCAACGACTGCATTATTATTCTTACCCTGGTACGAGGAGCAGCGTGACGACCTTCTTGACGAGTTCTCCTTGCAACTTCTGCAGCACGAGGTGGTCTCGATGATACTGGCTGCTCTGGTCTCGGATCTTCTTTCGAAATGCTAGAGTGCACAGACTCTGTCGGTTCGCGCTTCACTGTACAACACAGAAAACATTAGCATGGATTCACACAGATCGCCTAATTCTTCAACGTTCGGCACACGAGGAAACGAGACACGCATCGACCAAACCCAGTCCTGAACTTCAGGTGGCTTAGCAAGAATACGAGGTACCTCTATAGCAGTATTATTACCAGTGCTAGCGAGCGTTTGTGCTTCTTGCTCGTGCTCGTGCTCTTGCATGTGTTCCTGCTCGTGCTCGTGCTCTTCATCGTTCTCCTGCTCCTGCTCGCTATCCTGCTCCTGCTCGTTCTCCTGCTCTTGCTCGTGCTCCTGCTCGTTCTCCTCTCTTGCTCGTGCTCCTGCTCCTGCTCGTGCTTGTGTTCCTGCTCGTGCTCTTGCTCGTGTTCCTGCTCCTGCTCTTGCTCGTGCTGCTGCTCGTGCTCCTGCTCGTGCTCCTGCTCGTGCTCCTGCTCGATATCTGCTACATGGTCGGTATCGCCTCCAGCGATAGTGGTAATCCAAGAGCGATCTCGCCATTCCCGTCGAGTCCCACTAAATCTCTTTTCTAGTAAAGCGCGCGGCACAACCATTCTGCACGCGCAATATCATGACCAAAACCTTCGTTAGTCACGTCCGACCACAGCATACACACTGCAACCAACTTACTCTGGGCCATCAGCTGCTTGCGTTGGGAAAGCAAGCTCTAGTTTCGTGGGGCCAAGTGTGACGGATTCGATCATGCACAATGCACGCTTCATGTTACGCCGAAAAGCAGAACCGTCAAGACGATGAAATTCGTAAAAAGCATCCCAGCAATCCTGTGCATTCACATTAATGTACCATAAATGGGCCGTCTAGATAAAAATCAAGCTGATGACATTACAAACCTTTGGCTCGTCCAGCTCAAAGATCTTCTTAAAAGTCTCAAGGAATGTCGTTAACGCCGAGCCGTCCTCGCTTCTATATAGCAACCAAACAAAACCACACCGTCAGGGGATTTCTCACTAAGTACCAAGCAAACCCACTCCTCCATACTCTTTAATCTTATCTCTCATCAGTACACACGTCTCGTAAATGCCTTCGGCATGACACATCTCGTCACTTTCCAGCTTGAATAACTCTGCATCCAGACCCTCAAAAGCCACTGCAAATCTCTCCACCAATAGCTACAGCAACATACAACATAAACGTTCAATTATTTCCCTGTCTCTTTCGTCTATTTTCACATTTAATGGCGTCTCACATGAAAAAACAATGGCGACTCAAACAGAGCGCGACTGGTGTCCAAGGGCATTATAGCATCCAGCTGTAGTATCCGTTCAAATAGAAATACGAAGTCCATTGGCTCATCATCCAGTTCTTTATCAATAGCAGCTAATAACGTTCTCCAACGGAACGGACTTGTATCGGACAATTCCACGCCAATTTTGTGCAAAATCTCGGCTATGGCTACGAGTATGAGGATGAGAAGGGTATAGAAAGATGCACAAGACAAACGAGAAGCAGATGTAGATATATAAATTTACCGTTGGCCTCTTCCAATGCGCCAATGTGGCTTAAGAACTCGCCGCAGACTTCTAACGCCGTGCGCATTTGTAATGTCAAGAATTTGGTTTGTCGCATAAATCATACGTTATGTAGCGGTTATGTAATGTTATGTGGTACACTTATTTACGATACCAGAAATTTGTCAATATTTCGCTCTTTTTCATGCAAATATCTGAATACGATCGATGATCGACCGTCGTTACCACCGCTCCTTGCAGGTGTTCTCGTGGGTAGCATGCGGTGCTATGACGGCCAAGATGGTTCTTTTTACAGACTTTAGCTCGCGAAGAGGCCATGATGAGCATGAACACGTATTTTCGGAGGTACATTAGGCTGTCGTAATGGTGCACTTGTAGAAAACACACAATTATTGACGTCACGTGTGATGCAGATCCAGAGGTACACGGACAAGCAGCTAGACAAGTTCTTTGGGGTGGAGGATATCAAGAAACAGGCTCGATCCGATCAGCAGTTGAGTGATACTTTGCCTAGCTCTGTTTCAGACAAAAAGGAATAGATTTATCCCTTGATCAGCACTTGAGTGAGATCTTCGGTACAAACGTGTACATGCATCTACATGCAGGAGTTACTTACGTGCAGTTTTTGATCTGAACTGGATTGTCATCATTGGCGTGGGAATATTGCCACCTTCTTTACCTCGCACTGCTCTCAACATATTGGAAGGTGGTGACACTTTATCCGCTTTGCTCGTCTAAGGATGCTGCAGTAGTAGGCTTGAACACTGCAAACTGCGGACGCGGAGGTTTTCGTTTCGCCGCTGAGCCACCACGATGCACACCGTATATGCCTGCACGCGAAGGTGGCGCCATCATAGCAGCCAACGGGTCTTTTTTCATTAGCAAATGAGAAGGAGGCGGGGCCATAAGTGCTGCCAGCGGGTCGTTGCTAAGCGCAGGGCCACTGTGAATTGAACCCGGGGCTGAGTTCGTGCCTGCTGGTGGCACGCCCGTGGCGCTAGATCCAGGGGCACTACCAGACAGCGGACCAGTGGGCGGCGCGCTAGGCCTCGCAGCTTCCTCAGGAGCAGACTCCCCAGGAAACACCCAGCGCTTCGCATCCTCGTCGAAATAGGCCTCCATCTGCTCGCCGAGTTTGGCCACCTTCACTTCTGGGTTCATCTTAGTGACGATGAAAGATGACAGACCTGACAGCCATCCAGAGCCCTTTGCGCTACCGCTGGGTGGCGGCGTCTTAACGCTCATAGGCTTCTTCATACCGCTAGTCTTGCCCTTATCACTCGCAGGACCACTCTTCGAGGCATCTGTAGGTGGAAGCGATGCAGCAATCTCAGCGGTCGGGCCAGCGGCTGATGTTTTGGGTTGACTTGAAGAGCTTGTGTTACCCAACATGCCCAGCGAGGATGACTTCTGAAACGATGGACGTGCAGGAGGTGTGCCCTGCGAATGCTGTGACGTTTGCGATGAAGGAGGCTGCTGCTGATAGCGGTGCTGCTGCTGTGAAGAGTACAGCTGAGCACTTTGTGGAGTCATACCGCTGAAGCTGCTGTCGCTGTGCGTGCTATGGTTGCTACCTGGGGGCTCAATCGAATGCTGCGAGCGCACGAGTGATGCCGTACCATTCTTTTGGGATCCTGGTCCGCTGTTTGAGAACGGTACTGTGGCACCAGACCTTCCGTTTCCAGAGAACGGGCCAGACGATGTCTGCTGTTGTTGTTGTTGAGGAGTAAAGTGCCCCTGGCCGGCAAACGGACCAGGCTGCAGCTGCTGAGCACGACGCCCGTTGCCCGAGAATGGTCCTGACGGGGCAACACCTGGCTCTGAGTTGGGTCTCGCTGGCGGTGTTGCAGAAGCGCTATTGCGTCCATTTGGAGAGCACACGGGTGGAGTTGCGTGGTCATTAATGCCGGTGGGTACAGGTAAGGGTCCCTGCGAACTGGGCGGAGGGGTTTGCTGATACTGCTGCGGGTGTAACGACGCAGGTGACAAGGTTGGTGCAGCCATAGATGGGGTACTCGGGTAGCTTTCTGCGCGCGCAGTCACCTCGTTTGCGTACAAACCACCCGATGTTAGCGCACTAGGATCTACGCGAGGAGCAGCATCTGATTCGTTGCCCTCCACCACACGGTTCACGATCTTGCCCATCATACTCAACGCACTGCCAAGACCCCACTTGCCACCTTGCTTGCGACCACTACCACGGCTGGTCGCTGCTGCCACAGAGGCTACACGGTCGTGACCAAGGTGTTGACGCAGCCGGTCATCCAGGACCGTGAGCTGGTTCTTCAATCCGTCCAGATACATAGATGTCCCAGGCTTCATCATTGCCGTCACTGCCTTGATCACCGCAAGCATCGACGTCACGTACTTAAACGCCGTGTCAAGCTTTCCGTGATCAGCCAGAAGCATCGCGTAAATAAGCTTGTAACCCTGGAAAGGAATCATGAGGTTGGCCGATGCCCCCTTCGCATGCTTTCGGGCCCACTCGTAAATTTCCGTTCGCTGCACGGCACCAGGTGACACATAGAATCGTGCTTCCGCAGGTGTCCGATGATCTCCTCCCAATAGCGCCATTTTTGAACTCAGCGTAGGTGCGTCAACTTGAATACCTGCAAGTAAGTAGCAGGTATGGGCTGCCGCTACCGCGTTGGCTTCACCCCACAACCGATCGCCCAGCTCCGTCAGAATCTTGTTGGTATCCGCAGTCCTGTTGGAGAGAAGAACTTGAGCGTGGGACACCCAATTCGAGAGGATGAGAGATCCTGTAGGCTGCTGAATATTGGTTTGTAAAAGGCGCTTTGGCTCCTGCACGCTCTTTTCTTGTTGGTCCGCAAATGACATGAAAAGAGTACGACACGGATCACCAGTTGCATAGTGCTCATCCAAATATGTGCGCAAGACTCGCTAGATTTTGACAAGACAAATAAGAAGTCAGAATAGACCGTCACCGCAATATAGTGAAGCTACACGTACCCTGTACTCCTCCTTGTCGGTGAACGATGCGATCAGCATGGCTTCCGGCCACATCTGCGCAGTCATAGCAGAAGAAACTGCACCTTGCCTATCGCCAACTAAGAGCAGCTCGCGGATATCATTTGCACGTTTCAGCAAAAGATCCGAAGGCTGCCAAAAACAACAATATTAGCGCCACTGCTATAGAATCGTAACCCATGCAGAAGAAAAAAAACCTACCGCCCCAGGCTGAACTTTTCGCAGAGGGAAAATCGGAAACTCGTTCCTATTACGCCGTCTACTGCTCTCACTAAGCAGCGCAATGAGTTGAGCCTCGGGAGAATCAGGATCACTAGGATTAAACATTCCTGGATCAGAACGCAACTTTCCGTTGCATTTGACCAAGACACGCAGCACACCTAGCAACAAGCGGTCGTTTTCTTCTTCGACAGTTGCCTCGCTCCGTTTCAGATGATCATCAATACATTCCAAAATCACCTCGCCAGAGACGTCTTCGGTCAGCGGTCCCGGGAATATGTCCATTTGTTCGAACTCACTGTTCTTCGGATGCAGCTGGTCCATGCGATACACATTCACTGGTCCCTTACAAAGCACAGCGTCACCACCGTTGTCAAACTCAGATAGACTAGTAGGTTACAGGACATTAGACAGCACAAAAGAGTCAGAACAAGCCACAAGCGTTAATACTGCAATGCTCTGTCATACGTACACCGGAGCACCTCGAGAGCTTTTGCGGAAGCTGCTCCCAGCAATGTTTGTCCGCAATTTTTTCTTGGGAATCATAACCACCACGTTACCACCAAAGCCGAACGACGCTAGGCATGATGGAGGAGCAACGCATGGATCCTTGTATTTGTTGCTGGTCTTTACAACTGAAGTCGGGGCAGCGTCGGATATGTGTTGTGTAATCGTTTGCTCATAACCCCCGTATTTCGTAGTAGTTCCGTATTCGTATTCACTCGCAGCATTGTAGTCTGTACCTTGCGGTTGCCTTTGAACAGCGTCGCCACTATAACCAAATGCTGTGACGGCATGATGCAGCTCAGGTTGTTGCTGCTGTTGAAACGATCGGTACTGTTGTTGCTGTTGCTGTATCTGCTGCTGTTCGTGGCTAGCGCTACTTACATCATCCGCTCCTGGTACACGTGAGTAATAATAGTTGCCTGAATGTCTTCCAGATGCATGCATACCACCCTCATCATGATGAAGTGTCGAGTGTGCAAACTGCACAGAGGTAGCTGCGTCATCGCGAACTTGATGCTGTGGCTGCTCCGGCTTTTGACCATATTCCTTGTGCTCAAATTGATACGACAGCGAAGCGGTAGTCTGTGGTGCTGATGACGACGAAAAGAAATCGGATGATGTCTCACCACCAAAAGCGTTAGAGCCTGAATCGGAAAGCCCGTTAAACGCCTGAGGGTGATTCACACCATTTTCAGTCGCAATTGTTGAAATCGAGTTCTCAACAGCGTCTGCGTCTGCCTTTTTGACAACTAACGGTGATCCAACAGTACTGTTAGCTTCATGCTGCTGCAAACTATCACCACATCTTGCAGACGGCATCCCGGTTGACGATTGAATGTCAATCCTTGGAACCACTTCAGCCGCCGACGCTGGAAACGCTGTTGTAGTCGCTCCGAAGTACTCACCACAGGTTTCACGTGGACTTTGCTCTTGCGGGAGATCGTGCTCTTGATGGTGCAGGGACGCGAGTTGGGGCGCTGTATGCACACTGGAATCATTAGACGTAGACACTTGAGAATGCGATGTCAGTATTTCTGACGAATCTTGAAACACCGTCCTACCGAAGACCGACGACGCTTCGTCACTATTAAGGGAAGGTGTCATGCCAAAAAAAGAACTCGCATCAGCCGATGGATGACCTGAGGTGCTATTCACCTGTTGCTGCACATTTCGCTGAGGCTGGAAAGACGCATAACTCCCATATCGACTCATGGAAGAGTTGGATCCACGGCGCGACAAACTCGCATCCTCAACCAATCCATATGACGAATTTGAGTCATGTGATTGCATCGGAGGTCGTATCGCAGTCAGATGTACCGTCGAATGGATACCTTGTCGCTCCGCAAAAGACGATGCATCGCTTCCACTCCCTAAAAGTGACGGCTGGGAACCAGTTCGCACTGGCGGCTGCTGTTTAACTGGCCCTGATGATGGAGTCGTCACACGCTCACCGCCAATGTCGGACGCCGATGATAACGGATCAGCCGCAGATGATCGGCCAAAGAATGCATCAGTTAATGCGCTTGACGATGATTGTAAATGGTCGCCAAAACCCTCGGCTGTGCTATGGGAAGCAGTTTGACCATAGTGCGGATAGCTGTTATCCTGAAGTTCCGAGTACGACGACTGGGCCGGACTGGCCCTTCCAAACACTTCTGCTGTGGCGTGGTGGCTGTAGTCGTTTCTCGTTTCCAGTGCCGGACTTTGCCCGATCTGCTGGCTACCATAGGATTGTTGAGCTCGGCTAGCGTTAGAAAATGCTGTTGCCGCAGAATACTGGGTGTGGTTGTTTGGCGTTCCTGGAGCTGACCTGCCAAAGTGGTTCTGTCCACCAAATCCACTGGCTTTACGTGGGGTCGCGTTGCTAGTAAACGAGTTCGTTAATGATTGACGGCTAGAAGGCCCAGAAACTCCGGAAGTAGTTGAATATTCTACCGCTACAACGCCACCGCTCTGTCCGTGAGATTGTGCACGAAACGTGTTGGTTTCTGCATTAGCACCTGACTGATGCTTGTGGTTCGAAGCTTGTTCTGAATACGCTGCTGTGACACTATGACCATATTTTTCACCCCCGCCATGCAAAGCACTATGTATGCTTGATTGCTGTCCGAAATGATTCGCTGCAGTTGCAGCATCTGCTGAAGCTTGTGCATCTCCATCAAAGTATGAGGATACACCACGATCGACACTTGGCTTGTCGCTGTCACCACCACTACCGAACACACTATCGGGAGACGGTGCCGAGTTATCGAATCGAAGCTGCGCATCTCGCGAGGCAAATGGATCAGCATGCTTATAATTGCTAACACGTTGAGATTGGAAAGGACTTGAGATGAATCTGTCTCCTGCTGGTCGATCATTGGAGTTTGAAAACGACACTTCGCTCTGCGCTGAGTTCAGTGATGATGTCTGGGTGGTAGATTCGGATCCGCTCGCAGCTTGTTTGTAATTCTGGTACAAAAACGCAAAACCCCAAATCAGTAATTTTATGGGTACTTTTCAATGTCTGAGGGTAATAAGTCGTACCTGGCCGTGTGTCTGATACCCTGAGCTATATGGTTGAGCAAACGAGCTCTCGAAGCCACTTGAGGAAGCACCTGAGCCAAAAAGGTCTCCAGTATCTAAAGTTGGAAGTTCGTGCCCTTCAATAATTTTCGCCTCAGTTGCCGCGGGCGATACCCCGAACGAGCCGAATGGGTTTGGGACATCAGAACCTGCAGTGGCGTCAAACAGAAAAGCAGCACTCGGAACGTTGTCTTCCTGGGAAGTGCCTTCGGGTCGGTGATCACAACTAGAGTCAGCTAGCACTGTTGCATGCGGAGCGTTAGACGCAAGTTGCGAGGAGGAAACATCACTTGGCGAGCTCGCAAATGGGTTTGCGTCAGAGAAGGCACCATCGCCTCCGAAGATCGGCGCTGCAGCTACTGTTGCGGATTCTCCTATCGTTGCAACTGATCCAGACACTGATCCAGACTCTGGCGCAGATAATGCAAATGGCTCCGGTGTGCCACGGTGCTGTACCGTCTCCGTCACGCAGTGGCCGCTCGGGGAACGAAATTCCGACAAAAAACGCGGATTTGTGTGTACAGATCCACACATACTTGTTGTTTCGGATGCATTGTCATCTGAAAATCCTCCATCACTGGCATTGTCAGAAGTACCAATTGTCGTTCCAGGAGCCGAGAACTGTCCTTCGCTTACCGATGGAAAATCCGTACCGAAAGCTGTGCTAGCATTGGATGAATCCACCATGCTCGGCGTTTCTGACATGGTACCGTCCGAAAAAGCACCACCTTCACTGACACGTTCCGAACCGCCGAACGTTGCACCCGCGGACGATACTCCAAATGATGCTATTGAACTGCCTTCGTGATCCGTGCTGGCTATAGATGACTGATACATGCGATGACTCGCAAACGAGGACTGAGATCCGCCATACAACGAAGATGGCCGGCCTGATGACGGAAAAAATGAGTTTTCACCTGAAAATGATACAACAGAATCCCGTTCTTCTTCGTCTCTCGGTCCGTGATGAGTGTTGCGACGAGTCTCGTCGCCATCTTCGTTGACCTGCTCGTCTGAGGACATCCGAGCATGCCTATCATCACGTAATAGACGGGGGTCCCATCTTACATTTGATTCCGTGTATGAGTCACAAGTTTCGCCCTTCGCTCCGCTTGCAAATGTCATCGAGTTATGACCAGTCTCGTTTACACCAGCCCCAGAAATTTCTTCCGGAAAGGTTAGATTGTTATTTCCCTGCGGCGAACGGACACGTCCAAATGGCCCGCCAGTTCCAGTCGGGGTGTGAAGAAAACGAGCACTTGGCGGTGCTTCCAAAAATACGTTGAGATCACTTTCTTGGCTTGCTGACTGAGCAATAGCACTCGAAAACGGTGAGCATTCGGTCATATGGGTGTTCTCAACCGAGAGCAAGGGCACCGCTGAATCTTGCGTCGTCAGAGGTCTCGCTGGATCTGGCTCAATCGAAGAAACTGTAGTGGACACCTTGGTAACCTCGGACAGTTTGTCACTCATTTCGTCCCGGCGGGAATTCTTGGCCTCTTCCGAGTGCCCGGAAATAAAATAGTTCGACGCACTTACAGCTTCTTGTGTGATAGAATATGATTGCTCCAGATTGGTTGCAATAGCGAGAGGTGGCGGTTGATACGGAAGCGAGAATGAGGTATCTTGTTGACTGAAAGAAGAGGACGTAGTTGATTCTACATGTCTCTTTTTGTCACTCAAGCTCAAATCCAAGTTTTTCAGTTCCTTTGTCTGATCCTCTATAGACTCATCCCATTCCTCGTCGCCACGTTCGTCGTGATCGAACAGCTTATCTTCCTCACCGTCTCCCCAAAATTCACCAGCATCGCCGCCGGGGCTAATGAGCTCCACAGGAGGAGTCATAGAAGTAACTTTTCGAGTTGTTGTCACACTTGTGACAGCTGCCGTGTGGACGGACATTAAATCCCTTGTCACCATCGTCTCGGATCCAGTGTCCGCGGGCACCTGCTGGTCCGATTCATCATCCCATTGCTCATCTTGCCGATACGACTCGCGAGAAACGAAGGTCTGAACAGACGGGGCAGTCTGGGAAGGTGCTTCGTAACTCGTCGTTCCAAATGCAGTACGGGCTGACTTGTCCGGAAAGAAAGTTGACGATATGGTTGTAGAAGGCGGTAGTGGTCGCGTAGATTGAATCTGAGTCCTTTCGAGCGCTGGTGCTGGTTCATGAATTGACATCTGTGTAGCACTTTGACCCGTTGGCTCTAACGTGTTATTTGTCACTGTGGTGGAGAACGCAGTCGACGGCATAGTAGCTGGAGGCCGCAGAGCTGCCGAAACAGTTTGTGCTTGTTCAAAGCGCGACTTTGCTTTGTGAGATGGCACTTCAGTAGTAGTGGATCTCTTAATCGCAACCTTACTATCCACAGCTGCAGGTGCAGCTTGATGCATCGTAGACTTCGTCTTCGTCTCAGAAGCACCACCAGCAGACACTTCATTCGGACGTGGCGGCACCACTGTCGCCTTCGCAACAGGCGACGCAAATACGTCGTCGTCATCACCCCACGCAAATTCATCACCCGGTACTTTCACCGCTGCACGTACCGGGACTGTCGTTGACGTCGTTTCCGTCTCATCCGTTGGATTCGAGAGCACGGTCGAGGGTGAATCACAGTCCCATCCGTCATCACTGTACAATTCCTCCGCATCTTCCATCGAGAACAGCTGCGTCGGTCTTGCACTCGTCTTGGCAGCGTCAACAGAAGTTGCAGCAGTAGCAGTCTTTACAGTACGACCAGTCCCACTTGATCCCTCGCATTTGGCGTTCGTTGTTATAGAACTAGTACTGGTAGTACTGGTCATTACGTTTCTGTTGCTACTTGCGACGTTCAGAGAACCGAATGCAGAGATAGACGGTGAAGATGGTGTCATTCTCAGGCCACCAATAGTAGGAGGTCTCCATAGCGATGACGAAGATGTTGACGTAACAGATCCTACACCTGAAGCAGGAGCTCGTCGAGCGGCCATGCTATTATAGCTGCGATTACTGCTGCTACTCGTACTGCTGCCTGCTCGATCTCCTGACGTGGCGTCTATACCCAACGACGCGAAGAAATCTTGAGACGTAGCGGCCCCAGCGGCGAGTTTCTGGCGCAATCGCGTGCTGACGTTCACGGGTCTAGCGCGTGTAGTGCCACCTTTTAGTGGATCCTCATCAGAAGGAGAGCCATCAGCGGAGAAGAAGCTGCGGGCCCCGTTCATTGTCTCGCTCTAGTCGTTCACTCACTTGACACTTTTGGATGCGGTTTTTACCTTTGGAAGGGGAATGCGCGGTTTCCCTGACCATCACTCTGACTAGCTTGAAGTGACTAGTGTCACTAAAAATACCGCAAAAGAGTGACATAACATCAGGTGACGTGGACCTGGGATCAAGAAGAAGCAAGTATTGAAAAGTGGGTTCCATTCCACCTGCTGACATGTAAACTACTTGTTGCAATAGTATCAACATATTGCTATAGTCATGATGCCTGTTTTACTGCTTAGCAGTCGCACGTCGCAAATAACATATTTCATTTTTGACTGCTACCACTAAACGTAGTAACACATGAGAAACGTTATGTGGTAGTAGTCTATTTATGCTCTAAATTCGGTGTCGTACATTGTGACAACCGCCACTAGCAAAGCAAATCCACGGCAAAAGAGACCAGTCGGCACCGCTGGGACTTCCCGTCGCTTGCTGTATTGGCTTGGACAGTGTAGAAGAAACCAATAAAAGGCCAGCATAGACAAAAGAAGCATGCCAGTGGAGGTACAGCGTAAACTAACGGTGTTGGGGTACCCAGGCGTGGGCAAGTCGTCGCTCACCACGTGCTTCGTGGAGAACCGCTTTGTGGAGAATTATGACCCGACAATTGAAAACACGTTCCACAAGACCATCCGAGTGCGTAATGCGCACTTTGTTACCGATATTGTAGATACGGCAGGCATGGTACGACTCCCTCATAGAAGACACTTGCCGTCTCTCCGTTGAATGACTAGATTTGGTTGTGTTGGCGGCAGGATGAGTACGCTAATTTCTCGCAGGCAGCGTCGGTGGGTGTGCACGGCTATGTGCTTGTCTACTCGATCGGCTTGCGCACGTCGTTTGAGAAGTTGAAACTGATTAATGAGAAGCTCGTTAACATGTTGGGCTCCAAGCCGCCGCGTGTATTGGTTGGTAGCATGTCGGATCTAGAAAAGGCCAGGCAAGTGGTGTAATGGAGTTGATGCTGGATGAGGTGAATGATTTTTGGTGCTGACAGTTGAGACGGATGTCTATGTATGTGTTGTTGTAGAGAGGTGAGCGTAGAAGAAGGTCAGATGCTGGCGAGCAATTGGGAATGTCCCTTTGTCGAGTGCTCGGCAAAAGACAATGAGAACATAAGTACGTGGAGTCTACGTACGTGTTGCATTGTCAATTTGAATGGATTGTGTAACGGTATGTCGATGTGTAGACGAGGTATTTACTTATCTAATCAAGGAGATTGAGCGAGATTCCGGTCTGCTGGAGGAGAGCGACGATTCTCAGTGCATAATTCTGTAAATTGGAAAGCAAGTGACACTTGAGTGTAGCGGTAGACTTGTAGCAATCTCAAAGACCTTGCTACAGCATAGGTCCGGATCAAATGAGGAACGTTGCAGGCGAAGAGAAACATGAAAAGAGAATATGGGGACACAAGTCAAAAGAGGAAGGAATAATGCATCAACTGGGCAACTCAATGCTTTACAAATTACTGCAGAAGTCTTGCTTTAAATGATGTGTGTACCAATGCCAAAGTGTAACTGCATCACTAGCAGCTTAGTGTCTGCATCTTTTCGTCTACAGGTCCGTCTTGATACAACTTAACGTCGATTATGTTGCTGTTAACTCACATGAATATCGATTGAAAGAACAGGAGCGATATTAATAGTAATTGTGGGAGTTACCTTAGAAATAGTAGCAGTACTACTACTTATACGATAAGAGCATCATTATATTATATATTCACACGGTTACAACTATGTAAACCACATACTGAACCGGCATCCAAGACCGTCCGGATAAAACAGATCTATGACTACCCCTACGTATCCGGATTATTTATGTGGACCCTCTCGGAGCCGCTCGTTAATCTCCTGACCCTCACCCTCCTCCTCCTTCTGTAGCAATTATGATGCGCAAGGTAACATTTGAACTTGGCCGTTGTGTCCGTGAGACTGGCCAGGCATTGGACCGTCTTGGCTTGCGCGTGTTAAATGACAATTCGTTCAAGGAAAAGTGTAAGCTCACTCTTCTTTCTCTCTTTCTTTTACTACGGAGCTCTTCGGAATCTCAATGATTTTTATCGATTGCTGTGCTCTTTATTCAGTCTCTCGCCACCGTCAGGTTATGGCATTGTACGACAAGCGACCAAAGATTGCACATGATGTGTGGGTAGCACCCAATGCCACTGTTGTGGGTGACGTAGAGATTTGCAACGACGCCTCGGTTTTTTACAATGTGGTGATCCGAGGCGACCTCAATCAGGTGCGTATTGGTAATCGCACCAATGTACAGGACCGCACAGTCATCCACACGGCCAGTTCCACTAGCCCCGGATTGGCTCCAGGTGCTAATATTGGTAACGACGTCACTATTGGCCACGGATGCACGCTCTACTCGTGCACGATTGAAAACAATGCCCTCATTGGCATGGGGTCCATTATCCTAGACGGTGCTTTGGTTGAATCCAACACCATTATCGCTGCTGGTAGCGTTGTACCTCCTGGACGTCGTGTCCCAGCTGGACAGCTTTGGGCTGGCAACCCGGCCAAGTACGTGCGTGACCTCTCGGACGACGAAGTGGCCGATATCACCAAGCAGGCCAGCGAGTACAAGAACATTGCTAGTACCCACAGTGACGAGTTCCTGCCCTATGGAACGGCTTACCTGGACGCTGAGAAGATCAAGGCAGCTGGTGGCAGCCTTTAGAGTGTCGTGCCGTGCAAGGCTTCATTCTTCTCGTCTTCCTATTGAGAGGAAGAGATCGTGTGGTGCTTGTGTAGCATCGAATGATCATGCGTGTGAGCTCAATTGTTACTTAAATAAAGCAAAACAACGCTTCCTTTACAATCGAAACACTGACAGAGGAGCACGTTTGACCATGTTGCAGCTTGGATTTTTACTGCCACAGTTTACTCGTCATCGGTGTGTATCCTGCGACGTTTCTGCTTTTTCTGGCCGCGTTTCTTGAAGCTTACGTTCCCATTCGTAGTGATATTAATCTCCTCTTCACGACGAGACGATGATAAACCATTCGCCGTCGCATCTGCAGCGTCTTCCACGTTCACACCCTTATAGTTGCCTCCCCATGGGTTAAACGCACCCAAAGCGTTGTCTCCTTGCGTAGAAGAATGATCCAGGGCATCAAGACGCTTCCGCTCCTCAGCAAGACGTATTGCCTCCGCTTCAGCTTCTTCCGCACGTTTCGCCACCGCTTCTTCACTTTCGTCAATGTGTCGTACTTCTACTGTACTCCACTCACCCATACCAGTAGTCTCATCGATCACAACAGGTGCCCAAGTTGCTACTTCTGCTGTTTCACCAGTACGCCACTGATTCACCATTTTCTCTGCAGTTTCAAGTGTCACATTCGTTGGCAATGGGATCCGCAAGCGATCTGCTAGCACATCACGTTCAGTAAATTGGCTTGGCTTTATCTCCATTCGTAAGACCCTCTTCCGATGGTGGCAGCATGTACATGACCGTAAAGCGTCTGAAAGCCAGGTCAGTATTTGGAACTGTGTGCACTGTCGCCTGTTCCACCAATGCATCCAGCCACTGCTCGACCTCTTCCACCCAAATCTGACATGCACTTCCACTCTCCAGCTGCGTCTCATGTTTTTTACCTTCCAGATAGACAACACCTCGTACAGAGTACACTCCATTGTCCTCTTTCCTCTTTTCCTCCTCTTCTTTCTCGTGATCAATAACTGGACAATACGAAGCGTCAGTGAAAGATTTTCTTGTAGTTGAATGTACAAGTGAAGCTTTTCCACTGATTTGTCCAATATAATGAGGTGTTGCATGGATCTGTCCTGGTTTTCGGGGTGGTGGAGGGGGTGCATTGTTTTGTCCAGGACGAGGTGGCGGTGGCGGTGGTCTCCTGCTACGATTGGCCATATCTTGCTCATGTTTAGCACGTGCTTCTTCTTCAATCTGCTGCAATTGGTCACAAAGCTCCTTTTGTGATCTCTCAGCATCCAATTTAGTCTGTCGCTTGAGCTTGAGCGTTTCCTCGACCTTTTCCTTGTGTCTTCGACCGTGTTCATGGTGTTTAATACTCTATTACAGTAATACAAAAGCGTTTAATAGGTAGATAAAAAGAGATAGAGATAGTATAGACATACTAGCTTGTCATTCTGCATCCAGACATTGCAATACTTGCAATAATGCCGCTCCCGAGACACCCAATAGTCTACCATGATGTTAAGAAGACAATTGCAGGAATTCGTAACGTTTTAGCCAATCAGAACATGCACAATCAAATCATCACAATTTTCAAATATGACATTAATATCCATGCTGTGATTGGCTAATGTTTACAAAACTTCAATTAATCGCGTGTCAGACGTGATGAATTGCAAAATGAACTGCAGTCCACACGAACCAACCATTTTGACTGACAACTCGCTAACTCTTCGCATTACAGTCGTCATTCTCAACCAGAAGTAGCAACAATGGCAACTAAACGTGGTACGTTCATCTTTACTCTACTCTTTTTCTCTTTTCTCACCATGTACAAGTCTCTAATTGTCATCACGCTTGATTGCTGCAGGACGTGGTGGTGCCTCTGGCAACAAGTTTCGTATGACTTTGGGTCTTCCAGTTGGTGCTGTGATGAATTGCGCTGATAATTCGGGTGCTAAGAACCTGTACATTATTGCGGTGTGCGGTATCAAGGGTCGTCTGAATCGTCTACCTGCTGCTGGTGTCGGTGACATGGTACTGGCTACTGTGAAGAAGGGTAAGCCGGATCTTCGTAAGAAGGTCATGCCTGCTGTGGTCATTCGTCAACGCAAGGCCTGGCGCCGTAAAGACGGTGTGTTCCTTTACTTTGAGGATAATGCTGGTGTAATTGTCAATCCGAAGGGTGAGATGAAGGGTTCGGCTATCACGGGTCCCGTGGGCAAGGAATGCGCTGACCTGTGGCCACGTATTGCCTCGAACGCTGGTTCCATTGTCTAAGTTTCAAGAGAAAAGAGGAACTATAGTGTCATCATTGGTACAGCAACTTGCCAATGTGGTTGTTAGCTACTTAATGATGACTTTCCAGTGTCTTTTTTTTCTTTTATGACGGAGAGAACCGACACGAAATGACATGGAAAATTGTTGCTGCCATTTTGGATGTGGTCGATTGTTAAATTTTATCTTGCCAGCAGCTCTTGAGTGTAGTTTTTTCACAAGCTTTCTGTGAACCTTCTTCTTCTGGTTGGATATCTTCACATGCTCAAAATTTGGCAGCGACAATGTCGTGTTATGTCTGAGCTCGAGGTTAAACGCATCTTCCGTCAATTGGTGGGGTGGGGGTATATCATTATTACAAACATAAACGTTAGCAGGTTCGTAAAGTGTGTCAGTGCAAGTACACGAGCCAACGGTACTAAACAAAACATCATTAACATTAGTTCTACACATACGGACATTGTAAATACCAGATTACATTTCCACGTCGAGCAGGGATGAAAATGTAGCACCACCAGGAATTCCCTCCGAGAAGTTGAACTCCACACTTGGTACCATACACGTCATGGAATCACTTAGTACTTCTTCCTTGGGCAGGAACAACGTCTCGTCGACATTAACTGTCGGTTCATCCTTGATCAGAAATAACGTGTCGTCTATCTGATCGATTGTCTCATCGATAGGCGACAAATTCGGCGTCATGTACGTAGGAGTGGATGCAAACGTCGAGCCTGCCGTATCAACAGTAGGAGATGACGACGTATTACACGTTCCCCACTCTGTCGCGTTCATCGAACGCTGATTTGCTTGGGCAACTACACCTGAAGGTGCGTTTGAAATCGAATCCGTTTTAGCCTGCAACTCGCCACCACATACATCATGCAGTGAGTCCAATATCAGCTCATCCAGACCAAAAGAAGGTTGCGCCGCCGACGTGGGGTCTGACAACAAATCACTGCTTGCAGAGCGACAAAAGTTATCGTCATTTGCGTGCCACGTTGCCAGCGAATGCTGAAAAGACTGGCTCAATATCTTCTCATCACCGCATGGATCTGGACCACACTGTTGAGTCGAACTGTTGCCACTATATCCACCCATTCCCATTGGATCCAAGATGTTGTCGATCACAGCTTGTGCTTTTATCACATCTTCCTTAATCGTTTGGGCACACGAGTACATGTACAGGTCAAAATTATTCACATCTGATACGGATTCAGGAGAGAGAAGCCCATAGTCATCACCAGGAGCAACCATAGCACCAGCACAACCAACAACTGGACTCGCGAAAGAATCAGCAGGCAAGATCGTAGGCGAAGTATCAGAAGGAGTCACATGAGCTTCAATCGTAGCCGCCACATCGTCCGTAGCACAAGCCGGAGCTGCATCACGCGCAACATGATCACAAGCAGCAAGACCATCGCTTCGCAACTTTTCCTGCTCCTTTTTCGTTGTCTTCGCCTTGCGGGGTTTCTTCTTCGACTTGCAACGCTTGGGGTTTGCTAAATGTCTTTGCGAAGATGCGTCACTGCCACCCGCGGACTTCCCTAACGTCCTTAGCGAAGAGTGCCAATGGTTCTTCACGCTGTTATCCGTTCTGCCTGGCAACGCAGCAGTAATCTTCGCCCAGCAATTGCCAAGTTGCGCCTGCAAACGCAGGATAATCGCATCCTCCTCCTCGGTCCAAGGCGTTTTCTTGATAGCTGGATTCAACTGATTGTGCCATCTACCCCAACAATCAACCGTGTTAGCCAACACAATCAAACTATCCATCTCTACTTCTAGCTGCATTGATCGCTCACCTTTCGCGGCATTGTTTTCCATTTCGGTCTTTCAGGTATGAAGCAATTACAGACCATTTGCTTGCTCCATATTTTCCCACCAGGTGCAGCATTTTCATGTCCTCTTCTTCACTCCAAGGTCGCTTCACGACAGTGTCAAGACCTTGTAGGGTGGCCCATCGCTTACTACACTCCTCTGACGACCGACGCTCAATGCGACCCGAGATTGCTTTCCAGTTTTTGCCCCCAAACTGACAAACGCCATCACGAAGCAAGGAATCCTTCATACCATCATGTGAAAGATTAGACCAAGAAGTCGATTAAATGTAGAAGATTCATCAACTTTATACTTCGTCTGGAGTCCAATGAAGCACTTCATGACGGGATCGTACACCAGTTTCAGTTGTTGCTTTCGCCCTGCAAGAAAACAATCAGCTAACTGAATAACTGTGTATTAGTTTTAGCTCATGCATGCTAGACATCACTCACTTTCTCGAGCTTTTCTTCCGCTGGTACGGAGAGTAGCGCAATTCCATCATGACCTTCCAGTTGGACCGTTAACAAGTGAGCGCAAATTGCTTTGTGAATCTCGAGAACCTTGCATGAATTTCAACTGCTTTTGCAAGGACATGACGAGCTGTAAATCTGAGACCTTGCATTCTTCACATACATGCGCTAAGTGTCTTGTCCCTTGGAATCACAACAACGAAATCTGGGAAAAGTCAATGTCTTCAGCCACCATTTCTGTTTCAGACATTCCTAATGTTGCAAAACAGCGAAAGCTATTGCAACGATGGATAAAATTAATACATAGACACGTATTAATTTTGATGGTTTCTCGCCTACTTTAGTATCGGATCGAGAGTCCTGTGAGTAAAGGATGACCAGTGACAATTAACTCGTCTTGAGAATGACGTGTCAGAAAGCGGGCCGTGACCTTCAAGTATACGTCGCAAAAATAGAGCATCTTGTCAGACATGAAGCATAATATTTATAAAAAAGAAATGCTTTTGACGAAAAAAACCTGAGTGCAACCCCAAAGCACCAGCGAGCGGAGGTTTTGAGTCCCATCTGCCAAAACACCGAGCGCATCATCGGTAATGTTCCTGCAGAATGAAATATCGAGCGTCGTCAAACTCATTGCACAGTGCTCCAGCAAAGCCATCATAGATGCGTCCGTAGCTTGCTATATGCCAAAATTTACGTGAGCAAACATCAAACATAGTCCTGCCCTCTACTATCAGTAGCTTACCGACACACTGGACATTTCAAGCACTTCAAGATACGAGTTGGCGCCATAAGCAAGGTGCTGGAATGCGACATCTGTCAGCCTCAAGCAGCACCGCATTGAAACTTGGCGAAGAGCGTGACTGTGTTCTCGAACGGGTTCAAGGCACGCATCCGTGATCTGATGCAAATCTGACACATCAAGTACCTTCAACCCGCGACAAGACTCTAGCATCCCTCTTACAGCAATGTTGGTCAGTTGCGAACATCGTGCGATAGAGAATTCTTCCAGATCCGGTAAATTTTGTGCCAACGAGATGATAAACCCATCAGACAGTCGTTCCATTTGATTCAGCTTCAATTTTCTAAGCTTTTTCATGCTCTTAAGTGACTCTAAACTTGCATCATCAATCTGTGGACACTCGGATAAAGTCAACGAATGCAAATTCTGTAGCTCACAAAAAGAATCAATCGACTTTTTCGTAATTCGTTGATTACATGAGATCTCGAACGACTCAAGCGATGGAGCACAGCGTCGCACGAGAATTTTGCATCCAGTATCTGAAAGTCGATAACATCCCTGCATTTGCAGCTGTTCCACTGTCCTCAATGCGTCACCAAGTTCGTCAATAACATTGTCCGAGACACAGCGTCCACAAAGTCCCAGTCTTAATACTGTTAGAACCAGTCCATGAGCTGCACACTCTGTCAACGCTTTTAACATCGTATCCTCGTCAATAGTTGAGCAATCGGGAATGTCAATCTCCGTCACACCAGGGAAAATAAACAGTGGCAACACCTCCGGCTGAAGTCTCCGAAGCTTTACAACTGCTCGAGCCACTTGATGTCGTGCAGCAGCATCAATGTACTTGAGAGTTGGCAACTGTTCGACATGTTCGGCTAAACTCTGTAGTGCTAAATACTTTAGTTTTTGTACCACGTCGTCTGCAGTCAAGACGGACGAGCGTGCAGGACGTTGAGGGGTCCATACAACATTTAGTGTCTCATTATCGGGTTGTTCTACCTCTTGTTGTTGCTTACGTGCTGCCTGCGCTGCTTCTCGATTGTCATGGAGCTGCTGTGCCGTTGCGAAATAGCCAGGCCACGATTCATTCTCCTCCTCTACGTCTTGTGTGACGCTGGGGACGACGTGTTCTCCCGTGGCAAAGTAGAGCGCGCGTTCTCTCGAGACGACCGCTCTACCAGGACCACTAACAGCGTCTTGAACAGAGACAGACGTGTCTTCGGGAGGAGAGGTGCTGTGATGGCGACGAGACGAGCGCGGAAGCGCGGCACTAGAATGAGACTTGCGTTTCATAGTGCGGAATCGAGAATGACGGTTGAAGTGTGCGCTGATTGGACTATTTCCCGCCACCCCAACGACACTCAATATGTAATGGCGCCAGATCTCTCAACAAATTATACAGTAGACTTTTGTACCGTTTGTAATCGAACTCTGTTACGTCTTATTATTGACCACGTTCCGGTGGATGTCAACATGTTAGACGGCCAGCTCAAAGCGCCTATGCTTTATCTTGCTAGTTAAACATACAACGTTGTGCAAAAAAAGTATGTAATACACTTGAAACAATACAAAGCAATCGTCAAACTTGCGACTTTGTTTTCAGTAGATCGTAAGCATACGCGGGGCACAACTTCCTGCAGACAGCTACTTATTGCAGCAACGAATAGTGAGCATTTACTGTCCAACGAACCAAATGGCTTGCTTCATCACGTCAAGACTATCCAAGGCACGGTTTCTTACTTGTCGACCGTGGCCATATGCAACATCAGGTCCACCAGACGGTTCGAGTAGCCCCACTCATTGTCATACCACGCCACGAGCTTTACAAACTTGTCGTTCAGTGCAATGCATGCGTTCGCATCAAACGTGCTCGAGTGTTTGTCGTGCACAAAGTCATTAGACACCACCTGGTCCTCCGTGTAGCCAAGGATGCCTGCCAGTTCACCTTCCGACGCAGCCTTCACGGCGGCCTTGATCGCGTCCATCGACGCAGGTTTCTCCAGGCGACACGTCAGGTCCACCACCGAAACATCCGGCGTTGGTACACGGAACGCCATACCCGTTAGCTTACCGTTTAGCACTGGTAGCACTTTGCCCACTGCCACGGCGGCACCTGTTGACGACGGGATGATGTTCTGGCCGCAGCCACGGCCGCCTCGCCAGTCCTTACCGCCCTTTGCAGGACCGTCCACAGGCAACTGCGTCGAAGTTGTGGCATGTACTGTCGTCATCAGTCCCTCCACGATTCCGAAGTTGTCATTAATCACCTTGGCCAGTGGCGCCAGACAGTTTGTCGTGCACGAAGCGTTCGACACAACGTGTGCCGAGCCGTCGTAATCCTTGTGATTCACACCCATCACGTACATTGGGGTGGAGTCCTTAGATGGTGCAGAGATCACCACCTTCTTGCATCCTCCATCAATATGGGACTTGGCCTTTTCCGTCGTCGTAAACACACCCGTCGACTCACACACGTATGTGGCGTCGGCTTGACCCCACGGGATCTCCGATGGGTTGCGGGCATTGAACACGTGAATGACCTCACCATTCACGACAAGGTTACCATCTTTGGTTTCCACCGTCCCGTTGAACTTGCCGTGGGTCGAGTCATACTTGAACAGGTACGCCATGTAATCCAGATCCATGAATGGGTCGTTGATGGCCACTACCTTCGTCTTGGGGTTTTCGATGGCAGCACGGGCCACGAGGCGGCCAATGCGACCGAACCCGTTAATACCAATGTTGACTTCGGTCATCGTGAAGAAAAGAGTGTTGGTCGTTTGGAATTCTGCTGTGTCTAGAAGGACGCAAAAGGAAGAATGAGAAAGTCAAGAGGTTGTAAAAGTCTCTTATGATGGATGACACCTCAGTGTCGATTGCTCATTGTTATATTGTTGAACATGGATGATACGTGCGTAAAAACCATCAGTCTTGATTGGACCAATGGGATCATGCCGTAAAAATGAATGATATTCTTCGTAAAAAGTAAAAGATCGCGAGTTTTTATTTTTTCGCTATCGATCTGGATGAAGAATCAAGTATCATGTTGTGCCTTGATACACATAACTACTTCAAATTGTATCCAACTGACGTAGCGCAACGACAATCGCACAAAGCGGATAGCCACAACAACAGAAATGCTAAGGGTACATGTAATTGCGCGTTCCATGGAAAATGCTATGAGATTAAGCAAACAGCAAGATCACATGCACTTTCGTCTTTAATAATAGACTTACGGATACAATTTGTGCTGTGCATTTTTTGGGGGATTATTTTCTCTACTATACACCGTTGCCTTACGCTAAGCGAGGTAGCCACGTGCGCTGCGCTACACATTAAGAAACGAATTCGAAAGAGATCCCCACGCTGCGGGATCTTTGACATTATGAAACAGAGTTTGTGGTCGATCACAGGAGTACTGATCAGAGTTTTTAGGCTATTCATAAATGCATGCCGACAACAAAGTATTGCTTCCCGAAGTTGGTCGTTTGGATGGTGATTTTCGATACATTTGGGCTCGGTAAAAGTAACGACTCGTGCCAATTCGACTGTTGGATGATCCGTCATTGCTATCGGCATGGCTCGCGTCTGCTGATGTTCATTGACATTTTACTTGTTCGCAAAGCGCTTATCTGCAATTTTCTTTTTAGGATAAATCTTTAGTGTAGTTTCCATTCGTCATAGCGATGAGTGATGGAAAGTGCCATGTAGCTTGGTGCTTAAGGAATGCTTTTTACTGTAGTACTTAGACGTCGGCTGCAATGTTTTATCAGCCTTCAAGTTTGTTATATTGAGTTAAGTACTGGATTTCCCATAAGAATACATACTGTAGCACCAATTTGGACCATCATCTAAGATATACTTTTTACGTGTTTATATCCCAAAATTGAGGTTTTTCACATAACGAGGTTTTCCCAGCTTCAACTTTATTATCCAGTATCATTATCCAATTTGCAGCCTTCTAAGAACTCCAAACGACCAACACTCTTTTCTTCACGATGACACAAGTCAACATTGGTATTAACGGGTTCGGTCGCATTGGCCGCCTTGTGGCCCGTGCTGCCATCGAAAACCCCAAGACGAAGGTAGTGGCCATCAATGACCCATTCATGGATCTGGATTACATGGCGTACCTGTTCAAGTATGACTCGACCCACGGCAAGTTCAACGGGACGGTGGAAGCCAAAGATGGTAACCTTGTCGTGAATGGTGAGGTCATTCACGTGTTCAATGCCCGCAACCCATCGGAGATCCCGTGGGGTCAAGCCGACGCCACATACGTGTGTGAGTCGACGGGTGTGTTTACGACGACGGAAAAGGCCAAGTCCCATATTGATGGAGGATGCAAGAAGGTGGTGATCTCTGCACCATCTAAGGACTCCACCCCAATGTACGTGATGGGTGTGAATCACAAGGATTACGACGGCTCGGCACACGTTGTGTCGAACGCTTCGTGCACGACAAACTGTCTGGCGCCACTGGCCAAGGTGATTAATGACAACTTCGGAATCGTGGAGGGACTGATGACGACAGTACATGCCACAACTTCGACGCAGTTGCCTGTGGACGGTCCTGCAAAGGGCGGTAAGGACTGGCGAGGCGGCCGTGGCTGCGGCCAGAACATCATCCCGTCGTCAACAGGTGCCGCCGTGGCAGTGGGCAAAGTGCTACCAGTGCTAAACGGTAAGCTAACGGGTATGGCGTTCCGTGTACCAACGCCGGATGTTTCGGTGGTGGACCTGACGTGTCGCCTGGAGAAACCTGCGTCAATGGACGCGATCAAGGCCGCCGTGAAGGCTGCGTCGGAAGGTGAACTGGCAGGCATCCTTGGCTACACGGAGGACCAGGTGGTGTCTAATGACTTTGTGCACGACAAACACTCGAGCACGTTTGATGCGAACGCATGCATTGCACTGAACGACAAGTTTGTAAAGCTCGTGGCGTGGTATGACAATGAGTGGGGCTACTCGAACCGTCTGGTGGACCTGATGTTGCATATGGCCACGGTCGACAAGTAAAGATTGAGCGTCGATTGTTTTTCCCGAAATGATGTGGTAGTTGTACTCGTTGATAGTAGGATCTTGTCACGGAAGATATGCCAGCGTGGGTGGATTAATTTGGAAAGACTGCTATCATTACTAATTCTTGGTAGCCTCCAATGAAGATCAATAAGTATTACATTTCAGAAATGTTAATGTAGACTTATGACATGGGCAGCCGAACGTCAAGCTGCATGCAATTACAAAGGAAGACCATAATCATATTTGAGAATGTCTACCAATAAAATTATCTACATATGTTCCGGATGATCCGTTCAAGAAAATGGACGAGCGAATTGGCCAACGTTTGCACCTCGTCAATAAGACGCGTCTGTTTTAAGTGCTAGTACCTCATTAACACCTTTTAATTTGACGTTTATCGGTGAAAGTACATTGATAAGTCACATTTAGGTGTTCAAAACCCTTCTTTAGTGGATTGGAATACCTCGTAGCGGCAGCAGCACTAATACAAACAGGATCTCAATTTTGTCGACTTGTGTAACTTTTATGATGATGTAAGGTTGTTTTAATCCAGTAACGAACAAATATTAGTCACAATGTGGTCTCAATTTACAGTCACTGCTAATAAAAAGGCATAATCTTTTAGTAAAAGGTCATGACATAACGACAAAAATTAGGTCATTTTCCTTCATGTATCCGATTTCAGCTGATAAAAATAAATATAAAATCATATATTCAATAATACAAAATAACTATTGTAACAAATACAGAGAAAGTCAGAACATTTTTTAATCTTCTTCTACGTTGCGATCATTCCTGAAAATTCAATCATGGAAAATTACCACATTTTGGAACGTATTGGAGAAGGTTCGTTTGGAAAAGTATATCGAGGACGTCGCAAGTACTCGGGGCATATCGTTGCGCTTAAATTCGTAACAAAACAGGGCAAAAGTGTTCGAGATTTGAAAAATTTACGTCAAGAAGTAGGTTTTAAATTAAAAAAATATCAATATATATATAATAAATTTAATTCTAACTTTTTCATGTAACTATAAAATATAATTTTAGATTACTATTCTTCGACAATTGAATCATTGCAATATTATTGCAATGATGGACTCGTTTGAAACGGACAAAGAATTTTGTATCGTGACGGAATACGCTCAAGGAGAATTATTCCAAGTGTTAGAAGATGAACAGAGTTTACCGGAACAAGAAATTCGAAAAATTGCAATTCAATTGATTCAAGCATTGCACGTATTGCATTCGAATCGTATCATTCATCGAGATATGAAACCTCAAAATATCCTCATTGGCTCGAGACAGCAGATCAAGTTGTGTGACTTTGGTTTTGCTCGTGCTATTGGACATGATACGAGTTTATTAAAGTCTATCAAGGGCACACCATTATATATGGCTCCGGAATTAGTCCAAGAGAAGACATACAATTACACGGTGGATTTGTGGTCGCTAGGTGTCATTTTGTACGAACTTGCAGTGGGAAAACCTCCATTCTACACCGATAGGATTGTATCGCTGATCCAGATGATCGTACGCGACGATGTCAAGTATCCGTCGACAATGTCAGCAGATTTCCAGAGCTTTTTAAAAGGACTTTTGAACAAGGACCCTGCTTACCGACTAAAGTGGCCAGAGATTTTTGAGCATCCGTTCGTCCAAGAAACACCGGAGCAATTGAAGACACGACTTCAACTTGAGCGCCAAGTACGCACTTTGCCACGCTTCTTCAAGGAGAATGAGGTGCATGATCGGTTGGGAAAAGAGGCGGACGGAGGAAAAGTCAAGCCAAGCATCGAACGTCTGCGATCATGTGATGAATGGAAAATATGCGACCCAAAAACGGGGAGACAGTTGTGTAAACCCGAGCTGCCTGATCAAGATTATACCAAGATGAGTGGTCACGTTTTATCGGCCAACAGAAATAACGGTCCTTCTCTAAGTTTTAAGACTGTAAAGTCGACAAACGTAATAGCTCTCGAGAGCTTTCTGGGTGTGTGGGACCGGATCCGTGGTGAAATGGATGTGAAGCCCGTGGATGCAGGCCTCATGACGACACCATTGTTCACCAATGCTGTCAGTCTGCTACCTTCGATCCCTATTCAGGAGCTTTCCAGCGATACTATGGCGAAGATCGGATCACTATTATATCTTTTGTACCGCTCTTTGGTGCTTGTGCTAAAGAATATTGACGGCATGGTCGGTTTTGGTAGTCTGCTTCAAACTATCGACAGCCTGCATCATTTTCTGAATCACCTGGTAGAGTCCAGTGAAGCGATACATGCCGATAAGGAGCAAGCGAGTGAAGTGATCTACAAGAGTGTGCGCTGCTGCATGATATGCACAACTATCGCCAACGCAGCCGACAATATTCTGGAGGAGCACCGAGACTATCGTGAATTTTGCAACGGTGATATTGCAGTCATCTTACTGATGTTAAGCAAGAAGAATGATGTCGTCGCCACTTCTCACTCAAAAGCACTCAAGTGGCTAGGATCGATGATTGATCGATCACAAAATCTGACGGTACTGCTGGAGGTTGTCTACGCGTCAGGAGCAATTCAAACCCTGTGTGAGATCCTGCATGCATCAGGAACTTCACGTTCTCCTGGGGGTAGAATCTCGAAAGACAGTCGGGTTCTTGGTCTGTTTGCGATTTTTGCACTCGCAGCTTTCGTTCAACCCGACGCAAAATGTTGGAGCCCCTTGCAGCCTTTTCCTGTAATGAGTTTGATTAGCGATGATGCTGTGCCACTGACGAGCTCTAGTTTGCGAGATGTAAAACATCTCTGCAAACTTCGCGTTAAAATTCACTCAGAAGTTGGCTCCCAGGTTCTCAACAGTGGCGCGGCAAGCGAGCTAATTTCTTTGCTTGGAGATGAAATCACCGAGCGTGTGCAACAGAAGCGGAGTTTTGGCGGCGATATGGACAGAGAAGACGCTGATCAGTCCACTATCTGTTGCATCCTGAAGATCCTCGTGCACGCATGTCGAGCCTCTTCCCCTCTATCCGAAAAGCTGACGGTAACGAATGTAGTTTTCCAGAAACACTGCGACACAGATATTGTAACAATTTTGCTATGGGGAATGACTTCAGTAGGCCTGCACCAGATCGAGCAATACTTTGTGACGGAGCTATTGTCAGCCGTCTTGCGGCGTGGAATTCTTTCAAAACCACAGATTTGGCGCTGTGCTCGAATCTTGTTTCCACTGTTTCTAAACGCGAGTGATACTGCATTGTTGAGCGCGTTAAGCACTTTTTTCGCTGAGGTGATTGAAACGGGCAATATTGACAAGTCCGCACTTGGCAGTGATGGAATTCCTGGCGAATTGGAATCCCAGTACATGGAGCTATGGAATCTCGTCGTTCATGGTGCTCTTACACAGCGCTGCTCCGATGCGATATTTCGTTTACTCAGCACTAGCGCAACAGATGAAGTTGAAAGAAAAGGTAAGGCCCAGATGCTCACCAGCTACAATTTGCGAGCACAGGGGTTGCTAGACTCAGGCATTGTTTTTCTGCTACGAGTTGCGTCGAGAGCTTCATCGCAAGCGCTTCCCAAACGCCACAATGAACAAGAAGAAGGCGCTACGAGGTCCGTGGAGATAAACATGTTCTTGAATATTTTTAAGCACGATCATGTTTGGGACATTTTCGATGGTATGATGGCAAGTGGCGGAGGAGATCTATTATCACCTTGGGGGTTGTTTTGTTTTCTTAAACTATTGCGAATTGTGCAAGAGATACAAAGCAACGCAGCGCAGACTGAGTTCGCAGTCAATGACCATCTCTTACTGCATTTGGTGAAACTGCTTGAGCTCAAGCATATTGAACATCTTCTCTACTGGCCAGAGGTAGTCGGAGGTGGAAGTAATGCTGTGAAAGCACTTGTGCACGCTACAGTAAAAGTTCTTGGCATTCCGTTTGTCCACAACGTGTCGGAAGAGCTGCTCGTTCATATTCAAGAAATTTTGTACGACACGAAATGCGTACCGAAACTTCTTAATGTCCTTCGCTTTGTCTTTTCGACCAAACAGCTTCAGTTGGAGGCGTCCGTGCTGGAATTACCGATAAGTTTTCTGTCGCGTTTGATGATGAGCTCCACACACTTTGGCTCGCAGTTTGTGGAAGCTGATGGCATGCTGGTCATTGTAGAGTGTGGAATGTTGCGCAGTAGCTGCTCACCTTCACTTATCATCGACTTGTTGTTGATTGTGAGTCAAGTAGCCAGTAGTTCCGAGATCCACTGCAAGTGTATTCTGACGGCAAATCTTCTCCCACAAATCTACGAGCTACTACAGCACCCGGAGGCAATGGTCAGGGCAAAAACATTGAAGTGCATTGGGAACTTATGCCGTCACTCAGCACTCTTCTACCATCACTTTCTCACACCACTTGATGAAAATTCAGCGAAGAATACTGTTCTGAATGGGATGATACGTGGCTTGTCGGACCCCGATAATTACGTTCGTCGATTCGCATGTTCAGCCATTGGCAATGCAGCTTTTCATAATGGTGACTTATATGATGCACTTCGTCCTGCCATTCCTGTTTTGGTTCAAAATCTCTACGATGATGATGATAAGACACGATCAAATGCTGGAAGAGCTTTGGGCAATTTCGTTCGTAACTCTGATGAGCTTTGCAAAGACCTTTGCAGTAGTCGAACACCTTGGGAGCTTTTTAGACTGGCAATGATGGAAACCAGCATAGCTACACGTCGGATTGTGCTCTTTTCTTTGGGTAACTTTTGCGCTTATTCCGAGTGCTTTAACATGCTCGTTAGAGCAGAAGTGAACTTTGTTAAAGAGCTGGAATACTTGTATGACGATCTAGTAGCCGATGAGGTATCGAGACAAAACATCCATCGCATTTTCTCAAAGATTGAGGCACTCGATACCGAAGAAATGAACTAAATGATCGGCATATGTAAACCACAAGTGGAAAATGGTGAATGTTTCTTGATGGTGTGGTCTTATGACATGCACTACCTCGTGCATAAAGAGAGAGATAGGATAAAACGTACCGGAACTTGCATCTACCATTCGTCTGGAAGAGTTGCTTGGTCAAGGTCAAATGTCTGCCTTGTAAAGAACCATAATGAGATTACCGAGGTTAGACACGGACGCCAGTGAGGACCACTTCAGGTTATGTCGTCGTACTCTGTGCTCGATACCCGTACAGCACATCACTTGAGGGCTTCAATTCTCCCTCCTTGCAGATCTCGTAGCACATTTTACAAACTCGAGTGTTGGCCGACCCCTTCTCGGTCTTGTTCTTCTCGCCACGGCGACGTGCCGGGAACGGCAGTATCTTGGCTCGCACGTGACTCGATGAGCAAGCTGAGCATAGCACGCGACCGCACATGCGGCAATGGTGTCTGCGCGATCCCAAGCAGCCAAACTTCTTGTTGCATTCCATGCACTTGGACCGTTCGCTGTCAGGGACCCACACCGGTGAGTGCATCACCTTGACCATGAGCTTTGTAAGTTGTTGCTTGTCCACTTTGTCAAAGACCGTCTTTCCCGACTCGTCTTTCAAGTCAAGTCTTGCTCCATGACGTACGAGTCTTGTCGCAATCTCGATCAAGCCTTTGTCCAATGCGACATGCAAGATCGTCGACTTGTCCACTGGTGCATTGACATTGGTGCGATATTGCAGCAAAATCTCCGTCATTGTCGGGTCGTCTCTCGTGGCTGTCAAGATGTGAACCCCCAGTGGCGTCTGATTGCGCATGTTGGGAAAATTCACATCAGCACCACATTCCAGCAGCAACTTGGTCATCTGACGAGATTTTGCTGCAGCCAAGTGCAATGCCGTGTTCCGTCGATTGTCTGCCACATTAACGATTGATCCTCGTAAATGTGGCATCAGCAACGCTTGTACGACATTCAAATGGCCACCTCTAATAGCAAAGTGCAGTGCCGTCTGGCCGTATACGGGATCACGTCGGAGGACATCGGTACCGGGTTGAATGACGAGAGCATTCACTAGGACGATATTTCCTGCTCTTGCTGCTTGTAGCAATGGCGGAAGACCGTCCGATATAAGACCTGCTGATGTCGGTCGTACGTTGTCTTTGTAAGCGTGCCCATAACTCTCGTCCATACGCATGAGTGCATTACCCATTTCTGTTGCACGACCTGCAAGATTGTGCTCTCCGTAGCCATTTGGAGGCATCAAACTGTCTCGGAAACTGTTGCTTGCACGCATATTGGTGAGATCAAAGCTGCTAGTTGGTTGGACGTGTTGACTGGCAAACGAAGGTAGAAATTCCACGTCTTCTTCGTCTCCTACGGAATAGGCTTTAAAGCTGGTCTCACTGTTGTTACTGTAGCTATGACTACTGCTATGAACGGGTACTGTAGCTACTACATACTTGGAGTATTGTGACTTGTCGTAGGAAAAAGTAGCAATGGGTTCATCAATATCAACTTCTAGAGCTGGCATGATAATGAGAGAAGAAGAGAAAGTGACGAGAAGTGACTTGAAAGGGACGAGAAGTGACTGGAAAGGGCTTTTCGATGGACTTCGGAAGTAGCGACTATAGGTCCTGACTGACTATAGAGTTATTCGAGTATGGAGCGACAGACTTAGAGAGTCTGTATAGACAAGACATAGTTACTTAACAAATCTGTATGTAATGCAAGCTACGTAACAACTGGAGTTGACGTACAGTCGCCTAGTTATTTTAAGTGAAAGACTAAACAAGTGTTTCAAATCATTTGAGAGCATAATGGCTCCATATATTATATTTCTTGGTTAAGGTCAGGCGTGTGACTAAACCACACAAAAATATCCAGTAAAAAGCTGGAATAAATGACGCAATCTGATACTTTGGGAAAAAGTCTCTAAGCGCTACTTAAGTTACTTAATCACTTGTATGGAGCAAAAACCCAACTTTTATCGTTTGACTCTCCATACTGTAGTCACGTATTACGGCGAGTAGAGGGCGAATTAATTAATACATTTACATGATGAAACGGACAGTATCTGCTCTGCATGAAAGAGGTTTCAATAATGTAGCAGTCTCAATGGCTGGCACATATTGAGAACGGCTGTCTCAATTCTGTAGTTTGGCATGGGAAATTCGTTCCTTTTTAGTGCGATCGCTCGTCATATTCTAGTGATCAAATGTATATAGAATATGCTTGCAAAGCTTACCGTTTCCAGTGTCAACTGCTATATGATCACCTCATTTCTCTCTCCGAATACGTATATTTCATAGGACTTTTTCCCTCTTCAACTCGGGCAACAAAATAAACATTGTACATGTAGATGACGACCGTTTTTTGTTTGTTTTGTTTCAACAGCCAGGCGATTGTCATCATGCGCTCTATCAGATAAAACTTCTCATTTTGGGTCAGTAAGCGGTTATCGCACCACTAATTTATAGTGGTCACCGTTTGTAACTTTGTCATGAATCTAAGAATAGAGCTTCGAAGCGATTTAATGAAAGCTTGTTCATTAACAAAAAGACGCATGTCACGATGGTACGATCAACGAGGAGCTAGTGATCGTTTGTGGGTGTTTTAAAGAGCTCGGAATCGATGCAGGTGACTAGTGGGAGTCTTATGGTTGACATGTCGGAATGAAGGTAGTAAGTAACACGCTAGTCGTGTCACACAAACATACGATGGGATGATTCGTGTTTGCTCAAGAACAGAATTCCACGAGTCTGTAGTTATAGTGCTGCTCTAGCAAACAGTGGTCGTCATTCTCGTACAAACTCTAAAGCAGTTGACAGACAACTTACGTCTTTCTTCGCCATCAGTATCCGCCAATGTCATCATCACCTCATGAAGTCTCTCAGGAAGATCCAGGTAAATACTTCATTTAACTTGCGTGTAAAACGGCTGAGTCGACGTCAAAGCATTTCACTTCGAATCCTTCGGCACAAAACTTCCTAGTGCTGCTCTTGTAACAAACCTCTAGCTATCTAAGAACTACCCATTCATAAAAGCATCTAAAAGCATCTCCATCTAAAATAGCCCATGTATATTAGTAATAAAACTCACAACAAGATTTCTTACAAGGTTTAGCTTTTCTTCTTGCAAGATGTCTTTACCCACATAGCTCTCCTCTACTCGCAGTTGTAAAGCCTGCCAGGCGGTTCAATTGACAATCACTGTAGCGTTAAGATTGGTTAGACAGCAATGTGAATGACAATACGCCAAAGACTGAACTATTAAGAAACATTCCTTGATAGAAGAATGCAGGGTATCTAATGTTAGACAGAAAGTATGTATCCGAAAATCAACAATGTACTACGCTCGCTTCTAGAAATTGTCCAGGGATCGTAAAGCCTGCACGTCATTACTAATTAGCTGTTGAATTAAACGAGTCACTGCAAGTAGACGGAAGCGACAGTAAGAACGAGATGGTACTTTTGTTTTATAAATATTAGGGTGATTATAATTCCAATTCGATTCAGAAAAGAATCGCTTCCTACTCTACATCAATTACAAACCTCTCTAACTTTATTACGTATGTTTTATTAAATAACTTCTTAAAAAGAGGCTCATTTCTCTAAAGTTGAAGAAAACGTTCTTATTTTCTCATGCTTGAGGTGGTTGAGAATCAACGATGGTATCCGATTATGGTGCGTCTGCGTCTCTATTATTATTAGTCACTGATCTGTCTCTTACAAAACTCACGCTTACGTGCTATTTTTTATCTCTTTTTAATGTTATTATAGGGCTGGACAACGCATTTACAAGCAGAAGATCCTCCTGCCTGGTGTACTGTACATCAAGTAGCGTGTCCTAGTAAAGATGAACAGAAAAGTGTCATGTGGCAAGTTTACAAGGGTCAAGATTATGACGAGGAAGGCTGGCTCTATGGAGAGAAGTTTCAAGATACTTTAGGTCCCATGACACGTTCCAGTGTCGTCCGTACACGAGTTTGGATGGGATTTGAGACAGAAGAGCAGAAAGAAGCTGTGCTTGTTGCTACTGGAGCTGCAGGATCGACTTTTGGGGGTGAAGAAGCGTTGGAGACGAGTGAGAAGAATGACAAAGAGAAAGATGAGGAGGAAAGAAATGAAAAAGAAGATGCTGTGGCGGGGTGTGTGATAGAAGGAGTGGAGAGTGATCAGTCCGCACGGAATGCTGAGAATACAAGAGATGACGACTTATCTTCATTGACTGAGAGTGATGCAACGACCAATGTCGATGGCTCATCGAGTTCATCGGGTTTTTTCGAAAGAATTTCGTCGGCTGCATTATTTTTGCCATCGTCAGCATTTAATTTGGCTGGGTCATCATCGAAGCAAGCAGTGTATGGAACGGTGCAATCGATAAAGGAAGCGTCACTTTTTGGGTTTGAGATGGCACAGGCGGCTACTACAGCTGCAATTTCGTCGGAACCACAAATTTCGTTGATTCACAAAGGACAAAAGCACGTTGATGTGGAAAATGACGCGAAGGTTCTGTCCATGTTATCAAAGCGATTCCCAGATCTGTCACCGTATCAGCGATCAATGGTGACGTGCTGCGAAGGCGATATTGTGAATTATGTGTCTCCTCCAGAACTAACTGTGTCAAAACGCTGCAAGGAATGCAATATCGAGTTTGGTATGACTAAGTTTCGTTATCAATGTGGCTACTGCTCTGAATCGTTCTGCAGAACTCATTTGCCAGAGTCCGCTATCATTCGCGCGTATGGTTGCACAGCTCCATCGAAAGTGTGCATGAATTGTTATTCCGTTTTGATGGAGAAGATAGACCAGCAGCTTGTCCAATGGCGCATTGAGCGTGTAAAAGACTACCTCAGTGACAAGCTTATTCTGTACTACAACACAGCCACCGACACAGCTGTTGACAAGATTATGCGTGCTGCTGAAGGCACACTTGTCGCGGCCAGGTCTGCTCCAATTGGTGCAGCGGCGAAAATGGCTGTCGTGAGTGCCGATTTCTTGCGTAAATACGGCAGGGCTGGATTGCTTGGTTTTATTCTGCGCAATGAGTTTATGCAGTCATTTTCGACATTGAAAGGTTTGCTGGGCGACCTGGGTGATCTTGGCTTTCAAGATGCGGCCATTGGCGCATATTACTTCATGGCGATGAATCGTGGAGAACGTGGCGCACAACCTGAAAAGGAGAAGGTAAGCCATAACGGATGTGAGCCAGTCTCGGACGAGCTTTTGTCAAAGGTGCTTAAGTACGCACCGTTAGCATTGCACGGCATCTACGAGTCAGACGTCTTGGATGTCCAGCGCATTAGCAGGTTGCAAGGATTCTCTTTGATTTATGCACATGTTCAAGACCAAGACATTCGGCACCCTTCCTTTGCGCTGCTGGGTAACAAGGAAACGAAGACGGCACTTGTCTTGATTCGAGGCTCCAAATCTGTTCAAGATGCACTGACGGATATTCAGGCTTACCCTGAGGAGATCGGTTTGTCTGCGGCAGGTGCGCCTCAGAGCGAAGCAACCGGTGGTTTTGTTGATGCGTTCGCACATAATGGCATGCTCAAAGCTGTCATGTGGATCAAGGATCGTATTGTCAAATCGTTACGTGTGCTACACATTGAAGGCTATCATATTGTGTTTGCAGGTCATTCCTTGGGAGCTGGCTGTGCGGCGCTGCTGTCAGTCATGTTGCAGAAAGAGTTCGCGGATCTTGAATGTTTTGCGTACGCTGTCCCTGCTTGTGTAAATTTGAGTGTCGCCGAGTCTTGCAACGATTTCGTCCATTCAATTGTGCTTCGAGACGATATTGTGCCTCGTGCCAAGGCTTCTAATGTTCTCAAACTTGTTGATGAGCTGAAGAACTTCAAAGGATATTGGCGTGACACGGCATCTGAAGATTTGGAGGCGTTTAAGGAGCGGGCAAAGACGATTTGGGCACCAAGAAATCGTGAGTGGGCCAAGGAGGCGGCTAATCAACGAAAGGGGAAGCTTGCTATGAGGGATGAACCAGCTGATCAAAGGAAGACAAATTCTCCAAAAGAAAGACCCACCTTAGCTGAGAAAAAAGCAGAAGCGGTCAGTAGAGAAGAAAGCGTCTCGTCCTGGACACTTACACGAACAAACCTGATCGACCAACTTGACAAAGCCGGTGAAAAAAGCAGTGAAGAAGAAGCTTTAGAGCCATCAATCGAGACGCGCCAAGAGGAAGAAATTATGATTGCGGAGTTGGCAACGGTCTTGGTTGAGAATCCGAGAGAGCTTTATATCCCTGGCAAAGTGACGCACATTTTTTTTCACAAAGGAATTTTCGAAGCTGTACACGTTGACCGCAAGTGTGAAGAGCTGTCACACATTCCGGTGCAACAGAACATGCTGAGCGACCACCTAGGTCGCAATTATTTAAGCGCACTACGTATTGTCCGTGATGCACGTCGTGTCAAGCCTACACTACCAGAGTGGGTGCCTTTCAGCACGAAGACCCGCTGCATGTGCTGTGATTCGCCTTTTACATGGAACTCAACGTCTTCTAGTGAGGCACAGCAGAACCGTGACCAGCACAATTGCCGACGTTGCGGTGCTCTTGTCTGCGAAGGTTGTTCCGAGAAATTCAAGTCAATCCCAGAGTTTGGAATCAATGTGCCAGTTCGCGTATGCGATCGTTGCAATTACGAGGCTTGAATTCAATCTGAGCATTCTAACGGTGAATCTAGTGGCAAAACAATATTCTTGAGGCTTAAGGCTTCGCTTTATCAACCGTTTTTTTCATAGTGTAAACACTTCGTTCTTCTTCTGACACGATCATGGGCTCTAGCGCTGTGTACATTGCAGTGTACTGCTTTGTAGTATCGGTGATGCTACTATTGGCTGGCTACGGCTACTGGGCTTGGCGAGAATATCGATGCGCCATGCACGACGCTTTGTCGAGACAACATGAACGGGACGTCGAGTTGGGAGAACGCATGGAGCAAAACAATTACTGGGGTCGGACCAAACCTCAAGCTGCAACCAGTATGCACAATCATCTTTGAATCTCTCAATGACCGATGGCGTTATCCTTGTCCGTTGAGATGGTTTCATTTGGTTCTCAGTCAGGATTTGCATCAATAATTGAGTTCTTGGATGTCATGGATTCCTGAAGTAAAACTTCTGCTTCACTACGAGAAAGCGATCGCAGGAGCGCCTGTGTGCCGGCTTGTCGAAACAAGAAAATAACACTTTGGATGCGAGCGCATGACGTTTTTTGGGAGTCCATGAGCCATGGCAAATTGCTATAGAACACCAAGGTTCGCAGCTGGTTTTTGCGCCCTTCGTCCATGTTAAATGGCAAAGTAAACCGATAGCTCCGCAAACATTGATCGATTTTTGTCAATCAGCTGAAGAAACTCATTTGGCTTGTATCAAGATACGCGTTAAACTCATTCATTTCATGTAGTATCAGTTCTACAGTTGAAACAGTTGACATATACGTTGGCATGGGCAAGTAGTACGCCAACACAAAAGCAGCATTCAGAAATCAATGGTCCGGCTTTCAAACAATACAAAAAGCATTTGAGAGCTCACCTAAAGATTACTGTCCGTCTCATCAAAAGCCTCATCAATCTTGTCCCATAGTGAATTTGCGGCAGTAAACTGATCCGTGGATGGATCGATCTCAAATCGGATAATACGTTGCTTTGAAGGTACGTGAATATCTACTTTCATAGACACAACTTGTCACTATTGTCAACACGTGAAGCTTCGTATTATATATTACTTACCTCCAGCAACCTTCGAGTCACTAAAGTCCCATCGAATTCCTGTCACCGAAGCATAAAGACTCATTTGGTTTCTAAATAGCACAAACCCCACATGTTAAAAGACAGCAACATTTTCTACGTCCACTAATGTCACGTACTTTGCCACTGGAATATCGTTCTGATGAGCAGCATTAAACTGTAACAACTCCTGTCTCGCCTCTTCATATTTCTCCAGCAATACATCCAGCGACCCTTTAGACGTCGTAAAATTCAAAAAAAGAGGCAAAGAAAATCATCCATGAAGCAGGTTAAGGAGAACCACGACGGTCTATAATGTCAACTACTGTAAATTTCACAAAACATGAAAAATAGTCCAAAAATCCAAGTAAAAAAATGACAATGACAAGGATATTGTTCGTTCAATCGAAAACGGTCGAGCTGCAAAGTCATGTCTCTTTTAATGGCGTCTAACTCCTGCAGACGCTTGTGCAGCTGCTCATTCCGTTCCTTGGCTGCTTGTTCCTTCTCCTCCCATTCGTTCAAGTTTGCGCGCAGGTCTAATCAGATTATTTAATAATAAGAATCAGAAGAAAAAAAAAACCGTTTTGCAAAATATTATATATTACTTACGAGCGAGCAATTTCTGAGTCGAGCTCTGGCGGGTGTAAAAGGTGTTGGCAATGTCTTTGCGTTTCTGTATCAGCACACGCAGACGGTGTGCATCTTTGGGTGCATCATTATGGAACATTCCTTCCAGCTGGCCACATATCTCTTGCACTTCCTGCCACGACAGACCATTGCCATTATCAGCCACCACTTTGTCCATTTTTTTATCTTTATATATTTCAAACTTGTTTTAAACCATAACTGATACCTGATCTGATATAGTCTGTCCAATTCTGAGTCAACGATACAAATATACCAAATTCTAGTCCACATTGTTAGTGCCAATCAGTAAAAATGTCGTTCCGATCGCTGTTGGAAGCGGCGATGGGGGACGCGCAAGAGCTCCCACAGGACGAAGTGGGACGAATTGATGCACGAATGAACATGATGGACGATGTATTTGAACGTTCCGATGGTAAAAACGTTTTAAAATCAATACAAAATAGAGATTTTTAGCTGATTTGTGGGAATAATTTTCGTCATTAGGTCCTGCTGAAGAGAGTGACGATGCATACGTTCCTCATTCCAGTGGAGAAGGAGGGGGGAGAGGAGGAGAAGGAGGAGAAGAAGGAGGAGAAGGAGGAGAAGGAGGAGAGGAAGAAGTTGATTCGGACATTGAACGGCAATTGTGGGGAAAATCTCGTAAGCGCCGAAGACGAGGACAAGGGCGACAACGACGACGTGGTGGCCACATTGGTAAACGAAGTGTTACAGCCACTAAAATGCCACTGGAGCTGGCTAATGTACTAGGTGAAGCTAATATGCTCTACGCATCCCATCAGTATGATGAGGCTATTATGCTGCTAAAGGATTTTATCAAGAAAGCACCGACAATTCCAGACCCATATCATACGCTGGGTATGATTTATGAAGACCGACAGGATCGTACGAAGGCTCTGCAGTTCTTTTTGATTGCTTGCACACTGACGCCACAGGATGCTGAGCTTTGGAAGCGGGTGGGGCGCATTGCAAAGGACGAGAAGAACTTTGATCAGGCACTGTTTTGTTTCAAGAAAGCTAGCAGCGCTGACTCGAAAGATAAAGAGGCACTATTTAGTTATGCGGAATTGTGTCGTGAACAAGGCGATAATCGACGAGCAGCTGAGGTTTTTAAGAAACTGACTGTGCTTATACCGAATGACCTGTCACTGTGGATTCAAATCGCGGAGGCGTACCATTGCAACGACCAAGAAGATGAAGCAGTTGACGCGCTCAAAATGTGTATCGAAAAGGCTGCAACGCTGGACCCTACGCGGAATTTGCACTCTTCGAAGTACGAGCTCAATGCTGTGAATATGCTTGCAGACTTATACATTACACTCAAAAAGTATCGCGAAGCCATTGGCGTGATTCACCACCTCCACGCTCGATATGCCTCAGCTCAGGACGCTGACCAGGTTGAGGGCGACCCGGGTGGCTTGCCACTGGACATTGCTGTGAAGTACGGTATCTGTCACCTTTTCGAGCGAGACTTTGCCACGGCTGAGTCCATGTTCACGCATTTATACGCCCAGGATGTGGAAGTGTTTGGTGACTTGTATCTTGACGTGGCTGACGCTTACATTGCGCTTGGAGATCAGGACCGCGAGGCTGCAGCAATTCTTCAGCAGCTACTAGGCCGAGAAGAATTTCCCATAGAGCAGATCTGGATTAAGTTTGCCGCCTGCCATGACCGTCTGGGTATCTACGAGACTGCTGTGGAGTATTACGAAAAAGCTTTGGCGCACCAACGCACATCGCCAGACTTGTCTGTATGTCCAGAGCTAATGTTGCAGGCAATGCAAGCCACGCGGAAGAAAAATTGCCCGTTAGATGGGATCAAATTATTGGAAACATATTTGCCAGAGACAATGCAACCTCCCATTCGACCTTATTGGATCAACACTTTACGAAAACGTAAGGACCAAGATGCAGCTTCTGCACAAGGAGACGACAATGGAAAATACTTGAAGAATGATGGTGATAGTGACGCTGATGAAGTGGAAGCGGACGATGATGAAGACGATGCTGACGACCAAAGTAGAATGGAAATGGCCCATGATCCATCGTTGTCAGTAGATGCTATGGAAAATGGCATTCGCCTGAAGCTGCTGATTGAGTTGGGCCACCTAAAAAAGCTATCGGGTGAGGCCGAAGTGCTTTGCCAAGTCGGTATTCCCATAATCCTCACATCTCTCAGCCAAACATCATTTCGCTTATCTGGTCGTGTAAAAAACCCACTGGTAGAACCTCACGATGTAATTTCGGAGAGCGATGCGCAGTCCATGGGTTTCCAGGTGTTGAAATCTGAGTATCTTGTGGACATCACGGACTCGCGACAGCGTGAATCATTCATGGGGATTGTCATGCGCGTGGCACAGCAAATTGTGATTTCTCGTGCTCTTGGCGAGCAGCAATACTACAACTTGGTGATCGACATTGCGCAAACGCTCACCGAGCTAGGCAAGTATGTGGCAGCGATCGAGCTGCTGACGGACGTGAATACATCTGACAAAATTTCCAAGCCTACTCTGCGCTTCGAGCTGCGCTTCTTAGCGCTTGTGGTTGCTCTTGAGTTTAAGGAAAACCGCATGGCGTACGAGTGTGCACGGTTGAACATTATGGAGGACCCGCATAACCTGGGCTACTGGAATTTGTTTTCGCGCGTGATCGCTATCACAGGTGTATTTTCGTGGCACCAGAAATTTCTGGCAAAGTTGTTGCGTGATGCCCCTGAGAGCTACCCAGCCATTTTGCTTGCTGGCCACCAGTCATCAGCTTGGGATATCGCATCACTGACGGTGGGTGAGCTGACACTTGCTCACCAAAAGCACCCGAACGATCCTCTCACTATTTTCTGCATCGGACTAGCCTTCCTATCTGCGTCTATGCAGCGAACTATCAACGACAGGCAGCACACTGTGGCAAAGGCTTTTGCGTTCTTGCAACAGTATGAACGCGTCCGTATCACCGCCCCGAGTGACATTTCGCCGAATATTCGTCAAGTTGAGGCCTGGTACAACATTGGCCGCGCTCACCAGCAACTGGTACGTCTCGTGATGTGTTCATGGTTCGTATCGTACCCATCAGGTGTTCCGTTTTCTGACTTTAGTGGCTGCATGTGATGATGGTTTTATTCCAGGGGTTGTTTCACCTAGCTATCGCAATGTATGAGCGAGTGCTACGATTTTTTGAGACGTGCAAGAAGCAGAAGCACGACGTGCCCCCACAATATTTGCTCTGTAGAGAAACAGCTTACAATCTGTCGCTCATTTACAAGCAAAGGTGCGTTTTCTGGTCACAAAGTTATCGGTCGTCATGACACAATTCTAACTTTTTGCCTGAGTTGAAATTGATATTTTTTTCGATTCCGACATGTAGTGGAGCCAACGACCTGGCGAGGTACCTCATTGCAAAATATTTAACAATTGGTTGAACATTTTACAAATGTTCGAGTTCGAGGAGAAGGACCAATAGTTGTTTCTCTTGTCTAGTTCAGCGAATTAGTTTCGTGTAAATATCACTAATTTTGGGACGCCACCTCTAATGAATTAAACAGTAAATGACAATAGGATTTGGCATCCACATTACCACGATTTTCGAAAAAAAGTTGCTTTTTATAATTACAACCTTTTTAGCAAAAAACATTTTTTTTCGTTAAACCGATAAAAAACTGCTTTTTGCTAATAAGCGTGTTAAAACAAATGCTTTTTCCGAAGGGATTACGTTTTATCATTAAAACTTATACGTAAAATGATGGACGAGGAGAATCTATGGCAGCAGATGCTACGCGATTGCTCTGTGCGCTCCAAGCTGCCGGTAGTTAATCTACTACTCGTAGGTGACGCTGAATGCGGTAAATCTGCGCTACTCTCTCGTCTGGATGAGGCCAAACGTGGCCCCTCACAGACTACGAATGAGACGCACACAGTCGACACTATACTGGCCTTTAAGACGTTGGACGTACTGGACCCACACGCTAAGGAGAGCGGAGACGATGCGTCAGGTGAGAAGATGTTATTGCTATTATATGTCTCTAAGGATTTTGACTGTGTTTTTACGGTTTTAGAGGATGTGATGGCACATATTTGTACGTGGAGTTTAAACGATTTAACTCTTGAGGACCTCATTAAGATTGCGATAAAACCCCAGACACTACAAAAGGTACAAGGGTATTATTTCTAATGAGGTAGAGAAATAGAAGGGGCTAATAGTTTATGGTGCACTTGATAAGACGGTAGTGGCCATAGTGTTGGATCTGTCACGTCCGTGGACGATCAAGAGCTCGCTGGAACAGTGGCTATCGGCTCTAGAAGGTCAGCTTTTGGAACAAATCAATCAGCTGACATCTGAGGAAAGAAATGAGCTGTATGCGTCTCTTAAGCAGCACATTTTGACCTATGAAGATCCGGTACGGAGTGAGGAATTGAAAAAACGAGGTAACGGGGTGCTAAGTGTGTTTTTTTGATTGTTTGTTGGTTTGGAAATGTACTTTTTGATGTTTAGAGTGTCGATCACTCTGCACCGGTGCCTATGGACACGTCTACGAATGAGTTTGTATGTGTGTTCTACTTGTACTAACATTGTTTCGGGGAGATGGAAAAATGACGCGTTTTTTACGTTTTTTATCGGTAAAAGTTGGCAGAAGGCGTGCTTTCCAAAAATATAGGCGTACCACTTGTGATCATTGTGGCTAAGGCAGATGTACGTGTAAACTACTGATGCGTTCCTTGGACGGCTGAATAACATGCTGTGTTTGCCGTTGTAATTCTGCAGCTACGTCCGGAAAACTCAGTGAAGATGGACTATATCGAGTATACGCTTCGACAGTTTGCACTTCGATGTAAGACTGCAATCTTTTGTTTTTATCTAGTGTGTTTCTTATTTTCCGTTGTGTTTTTGATACTAGACGGCGCGCCGGTAGTGTTTACATCTGCAAAGACTGGCTCGAATGTGGACACACTCCGCAAGTATATCCTGCACCGTGCTTATTCGTGCCAGTTCAAATTCACGGAGCCACCGCAACTGGTGGACCGCAACAGCATCTTCATCCCGTCTGGCTACGACTCGTTCGAGTTGATTAACCAGAGTCTTGTGGGCTCACAGGCTCGTTGGCCAATTGACAAACCTTTCGAAAAAATCGTCACAGCTCCGGCAGAAGACACTGACGATGCTGCTTTACTGCTCGCTGCTGATGTCCGAGTCGACAACCACGAGCAGTGGCTTGAGAAACTGGAAAAGGCCGCAGGCGCGGGTCTGGAAGAGTTGCAAAAGCAAAGTATTGAAGCGAGCAAAAAGGCAGAACAGGCAGCTGTCGCTCGCCGCGCGGCTGCTGATCGCCGAAAGCGTGAAGAGAAGGATGTCAGCTCTAAACATCTCCAGAACTTTTTTAATAACCTACTGAGTCGACCAGAGAAGACAAGATCATCTCGGTCGATGAGTGATAAAAAGGTAAATTTGCTGATGCCAGGTACATTTGCTATGGATTGGCACTATGCTGAAACTTTTCTCCTGTGAATGTACTTGTAGAAGGAAAAGAGTGACATGCCGTCGGGTGAAGAGGAGGTGAAGCCCACGGTTTAGATTGACTGTTTCCCCCTTCTCGTGTCTGCTGCTGAAAGTTTGAAGAAGTAAAGAGGAACTTTAAATCCTTTCTGGTGTCCTGACAGACGTAAGCAGCTTGTTTAGCGGCCGTTGGCTGTACCAGTAAACTTTGCTGGCCGTTAACCATGAAGCGTCAGTGTTTATGGATTCACGAAAACCATCAGCCAAATGGTAGTGTATGTAGACGAATTAAAAAGTTTTCACCTTAAGATCAAAGCGAGCGAGCGAGCGAGCGCGTTTCCGACTTACTTGATGAAAGCTCAATAATTCATCGACTATGACCTGCAATACCTCACCGCATCGTAGTCATTGTTCCTAGTTTTTGGGAGCTTCCTGTTTATCACTCAATGGTAGTGGGTGTGCTGCGAATATTAAGGTGAAGGTTCCAGAGGACTCTATAAGCAGACTGGTGATTTTCTTGGGATACATTGACCAGGAAGCAGGCATCGCGTAGGATATGAATCTTTTGGTTCTGTAAACTTGCGGCACTACTATTACAGTAAGTGTGGTGGAAATACTAATAAGAATACTATTAGTATTTGTCTGCGGCACTACTATTAAGTGTGGTATAAATACTAATAAGAATACTATTAGTACGCTTTGTGCTATTTCTACCACACCCTATTGTGGCGCTTTTGTTACTATTTCCACCTCACCATAATTCTTGTTTCAATAATACACAACACAGCACCACACCACCTGACCAACACGACATCATGGCCATTCTCAACACACAGACCGTCTTTGCGTCAAAAAGTATGGACGGGAGGCAAGTTTCGCATCTACAATCAAACTGTAGCAGAGCTCCTTGATCAGGGAAGACTTAAAGGCTAAAAGTCTTTTAGTTCTAAAGGACTAAATAAACCTACGGCTAAGATCCACTTAGTTCTACTGCACTAATTGAACGATTACGAAGCTTCCCGTTCTACGGAACTGGGAGAGACTTCTTCTGTCTACGAGCTTGTTGTGATATGTTCCTCCCAAGTTGAAGTCGTTGGAACATTTCACGTCCGTTTACACATTTCACGTCCGTTTACCGATTCCGATGGTGAAACGTGGAAACAATGGAGAAGGGAAACGGCGGAGATCAGAATGGGACGAGTCGACAACTGGACGAGTTGACAAACGTTGGTGACAAGGTGGCGGCTCGCAGGTTAGCTGCAGCCGCATACATGAAAGCTCGAAAGCTCAGTCAGAAAAGTGCAAAGTGCAAGGCAAGTCGTCAGTAGCCAGAAAGAGCTAAACGAAGTAATAGATATCTTTGAGTGTCAAGAGATATATCTCTATATCTAGCATAGCTGGACGCTAGAGAGACTGCAATAAAGCGAGATTGCAACAGGGTTATGAGCCCAAGCCTGAGCAAGGCTTAAGCATAACCAAGAAACGGCGACGCATTTACAGGCTAAGGCTGTAAGTGTTTGAGTGCAAAGAAAGACTCCGTTTGTCAGGAAGGACAAACGTAAACTTACCTAAAAGCTGGCACAACATGTCAAACAAGGTAGAGCTGAACAAATATGGACGACCCGTAGGGTGGCATGGGCAATCCTGGGCGTACTACAAAGGGATGATGAAACTGACCTTTGAGGAAAAGGATGTGCTGGATTATGCTACGGGAAACAAGATTCTCGTAGGTAACGCAAGTGCAAACGAAGTGAAAGCGTTTCGAGAGGCACAAGTAACAATCAAGCAGCTTATTCTTGCTTCCCTATCAATGGAGTTGGGGCAGCGTGTGATGACGAAAGCAACTGGCACCGAGATGTGGAAATACTTGGAAGACTTTTACGAGGGAAAGACAAATGCTGCAACGAGAACAAACCAAGAAATTATTCTTTACAACAAGTTAAACGCGATGAAGTGCAAACCTAATTGGGACGTTGCGCAACACGTGGAAAACATGTTCATGATTAAAGATCAATTGGTCGCTGTGAACGCAGGTATTCGGGACCCGATCTTTACGCAGATGTTAATTCGATCGTTGCCGGCGAATGCGCGCTTTGATCGTTTGAGAGGCATGGTTGAAAGCGGGGACGACAAGGTGGACACTTCGGAAAAATTGAAAGATTAGATTTTGCGAATGGATAGTTTTAACAAGTGTGATCGGGAGCTTGGTGCCCATGGTGTCATTGGAAATGTGCAGGACAATGGAGGCAGTCAAACATCCAAGAACCGGCAAAACGCTAGCTGTGCAAGATCACATATCGGAACCAGAAAGTTAATAGCTGCCGACAAAGTACTCCAAAGCACGACTTCACAGGCGGATAAGCAGCATGGAAACTGCTTTAATTGTCATAAGCCTGGACACCGCATGAGAGACTGTCCTATAATGAAGAAACCAAAAACGAGTGATTATCAGGTGGCATTTGCACAGCATCCGAAGAATGAGCTTGCGGATGGATGTCAAGAAAAGCCGGATGAACTGATGGTGATGGCACAGAACAAGCTGTCAACGAGGGAAAATACTCCAGACAGAAACTGCACACAACGACAATGGTGTCTTGACAATGCGTCGAATGTACATGTGGCTTCTGATTTACGATACTTTATTGATTATAGCGCATTTGATAACAATGCACAAGCTCAATGTATCCGAGGATTTCAGAAGCACTTTAAAACAAAGCCGATTGGCCAGGGAACCGTTCAGATACTTGTTCAAAACGGATCAAGCAGCAACATGATAACACTTTATGACGTATTATACGTTCCTGACTGTATGAATTTAATTTCTCACACACAAGTCGAGGACCAAGGACATACTGTGAAGTATTGCATCCGAGAGGGAGAAAGATTCTACGAGCTTTGGCAGCATAATCGGAAGCTGCTGAACATCAAAAGAGATGACTGTGGTCTTTTCACATTTAATGCCATCAATGATTTTCTATCACAAACGAGTGACAGGGGTGAACTGCTGATCACAGATAAGTGCTTCCGTCCTCAGGTAAATCATACGCGCGCACAAGGGCACGCTGATATCCAACGGTGGCACGAAAGGCTGGGCCATCTTAATCCACAGTACGTGAAGCTCATGGCAGATCGCAAGCTAGTAGACGGAATGTCACTAAGCCCAAAACAATTTATTGATTGCGAAGCATGCCACATTGGTAAAGACCGACAACGTACACGTCATAAGCATTTGAAGCGTGATATAACGACGAAGAATCAAGTGATATTTGTCGATTTACTTTTTCCGAAGTACAGCTCAAGCCCAAGAGCGTATAAGGCGGTACTTGTTGTAGTAGATGGATACTCCCGGTATACTACGGTGTACCCACTTTACTCAAAGAACGCATCGGAAGTAAATACAGCCATCAAACGATACATTTCCTGGGCAGAGCGTCAATTTCCCGCAAATAAGGTCAAGCAAGTGATATCTGACGGCGGAGGGGAATTTGTAAATGGGGAGATTATCCTTTGGTACAGAAATGTTGGCATTGAGTTCTTACCAAACCCACCTCATGGATCACACTTGAACCTGTGTGAGAGAGCACACCAAACCCTAATTCACATGATGAAGGCAATGATGGCGTCCGCAAAGCTACCAAAGTCGTTTTGGATGCACGCGCTTGAGATGGCGACGTACCTGAGAAATAGGGCATACTGTCGGTCAATCAAAGAGACTCCATACAGAATGATGATGAACAAGAAGCCAAACCTACATGGTATAAAGAAGTTTGGATCTCTCGCTTATGTCCATCAAGCGAACAACCCATCTCGGAAGAAACTAGATGATAACTGCAGAATTGGTTTTCTTTTGGGGTACCTGGAAGGACAAGCAGGATTTAAAGCTTATTTTCCAGCAGATCAAGTGGTTCAACACGTTTTGGATGCTTCGATCAATGAGGATATAGTATACGGTGACCGATATCATGAAGGATATGCTGTCGCCGTATCAGATTGGTTGTCACGTACAAGCACGGATGATGAAAATGGAGCGAGTATGGAAGTCGACAGCAATGACGAAAGTATTGCGTCAGATGAAGACAGCATGGAAGTCGACAGCAATGGCGACAGTATTGAGTCGGATGATGACAGTATTGCGTCGGATTGTGAATCGATCCCGATTGACTATGAGAGCAAGTCATCAGCAATCGAGTCATCACCAAAGTTTGAATTAGTTGATGTGGATTCAGTGGAGACCAACATTGATATTCCTGTAATTCGGGATACACTCGATCTGAGTAATCAGAGCCCTATGTGTGCCAATGCCAGTGATGATGCAATTCAAAAACATCATACAAGCAAGCCCTCTAGCTTGGAAAGTGAAACGACCCACGATACCGAAACAGATGTTGACAGTCAATCAGCTGCCGAAAATTGCGACAAGGTGAGTTGTGACTATCGGTCAGAGACATCCGACACTAGTAATAGCGAGGATGAGGATGAAAATGTACATGCAGATACGGAACTACCTACCACATCCAAGGATACAGTACGTTCACGCGAGGGTGCGACGACGAGTGAGTCCAGCAATGACCTGATGGATACGTGTATGATTCCTGAAATAATTACTGGAGAACGTAGGAAAGTTTTGGATGCGGAGCTAGAGGATGTCCAAGAGATAAAACGACGGCGCGATAACAAAGGAAGGCCACAGAAAATGGTCTTACGCCAGTCAACAGAGCGCCGATACCCGTCGTGGCTTGAGAGGTACCTTGTGAATGCTGCACTCCGTGAAAATAGCGAAAGTCTTACAGCGAGCCGTAGATGGCGAGCAAATGAGACCAAGATTCCCAAAAGCTTTACTGAAGCGATGAAGACGCCGCAAAAAGACGAATGGTATAATGGTATGAAAAACGAAGTGAACGCCATGTTTTCTAAGGGAGTATTGGTTCCGATTGATGAAACAGAAGCCCCGGCGAAGGCAAACAAATTAGGATTAATGTGGAGATTCCAAGTGAAGACTGATGACCAAGAATTCATTACTCGTTTTCGTCCTAGACTTGTAGGATACGGAAACCATCAGCAGCCAGGAATTGACTACG